TGGCCTTTAACCTTTTCAACGAACGCAAGCATCAACAGCCCAAAAGATCGTTTCAATTTAGCGAACATGACGCAGCTAAGATATGCATGATACTGATACGAGAATAAATAGCCGCAATGTAATCAATAATACAATTGAAGCAGTGGCGTCACTTGAGTTTGTCACTCGGTGCGGTTAACTCATTGTGTCACCCCCCCCCCTTTTTTTTTTCTCCCACATCCCCTAAGTCCTCCTGTGCATGTTGTGGTGGAAACCTCATCTGATGACACCCATGTATGGTGGCACCCGTGTATGGTGGCACCCGTGTCTGGTGGCACCCGTGTCTGGTGGCACTCTGTTCTTGTATTAGTTGTATTATCCTAAGCAACTGGAACGTGCTGTGCCAAATTTGCATATAGTTTTGTTCTTTTTTTTTTTTTTGTTTGGTGTCCCCTAGTGACGGCTACCGGTGCTGACTTATAATTATAAGCCCTGTTTTGCAATGTAAGTATTGTAAGGGAGTTCAGCTCATGGCCGCCATTCTAAAACGGTCCACCTAAAACTACAACTGTCAACCTTTACCCTTTGCACCGCTGAACCGGAAGTTCATCTAAGATGTGCTCAGGGTGAAAAAACATGTCGCTCGTGTGTTGGTATGTTTGTAATGTCGGCGGTCAACCAGTCCAGACAGCTAACTCTGCCATCTATGTCTGTGACAGCTGACACAGATGCCTCTGTCACTTGTTGTGTGCACGCCCAGAGCCAGTGAAGAATCCATAAGCGGGGGTCGAAAACACATTATTCTTATAATTTTAATTGGTTGTAATTTAATTATAATAATAAGATGAATACAAATTGAACAAAAATAAATTATTAAAGGATTTTCTCAAATTTAAAATGCGTTACACCAGTGGGTCTCAACCTTCCTAATGATGCGACCCTTTAATAATACAGTTCATGTTGTGATGAAACCACCCCCCCCCCCCAAATCATAGAAATAAAATCATAAAAATAAATTATTAAAGGATTTTCTCAAATTTAAAATGCGTTACACCAGTGGGTCTCAACCTTCCTAATGATGCGACCCTTTAATAATACAGTTCATGTTGTGATGAAACCCCCCCCCCCCCCCCAAATCATAGAAATAAAATCATTTTTGTTGATACTTCATGAATATGTGTTTTCCGATGATCTTAGGCGACCCCTGTGTGTAACAATGACAATGTAACAAGTGACAAAATGACAAAACGACAAGGTGACAAAACGACAAGGTGACAAAACGACAAGGTGACAAAAACGACAAGGTGACAAAATGACAAAGTTTAGGTTAGGGTTAGTCTGATAACCGAATACCGTGTTTCTCCAATTAAAAGGCATGTAAAATATCTAAACAAGTTGACTAGACCTTTTTGTATGCAAGGCAGTGATTCACAATCTTTTTTGTGCCATGCCCCACCTAGGACTTTCTAAAATTCTTATGCCCCACTTATATTGTAATACATAATTTAAAATGTTCAAAAATAGGGTTGTTCCCTGAAGAAACTTTAACAATAGGTTTTAGGAAGAAATCAATATGAAATTGTTGAGGAATAATAGCAAGTATGTATATAGAGAACTGACATTCAATTACGAAATAATTTTAATGATATATATTTATGTATTATTTTAATTATTGGTAATTATTTATTGTTTAACGTTAGTGAGATGTTTGTGCTTGATGCTTGCGGATAAGAGATTTTATGTTAGGTTTCAATTTAGTTAGCTTCAGTCTCAAGTCTCCCCGTTGTGTTATACCCAGCCCATTTGTTTTTCTTTTTGCAGCAAATCATTTATGGCACTAAATCCACTTTCAGCTAAATATGAAGATGGAAACGATAACAATAGTTTTCTTGCACATTTTGGTTGAATTTGGATCTTTGATTTCTGTTGCCCCACAAAGCCATGTGTTCCTTTTATAATTAATAAAGTGTTAACTGACTCATCATTTTGCATGTCTGCCAGTTCTTCTTGATTACTGCATATTTGAGGTATCAGAGATATCCACTAACATTGGCTGCATCATCCAAGTTGGAAAATCAATTTGTTTCAAATCAGAAAATCTTTCTTATCAGCCGATATAATTTTCAGATGACAATAACAAGTATAGCGGTAAAAGACACTTCACATTTTTGGAGCCAATGCAACTTTTCAAAATTTGTGTTGTAAATATATTTCTTACATAATTCAATACAGGTAATGAAACCGAATATCTTCACTTTTTCATCGACAAGAATTTGTTCCTTGAACTTGAAGTTGGTTGTTTAATAAATTGAGTATTTCAAAGATATTGGCTAAATAACTCACAAATGCTTTTTTATCGACCGTTAACAGATAATTCATTTCAGGTTTGACACTTTAAAGAGAATCAAATAGTTCCATAAATCTTTTCAAGCAATTCCATTTCGAAGGCCATATTACTTCAGTGTGAAGAAAAAGTCTCACACAGTTTGCATTTTGTCTTTCAAAAAAATTGCTTAAAGAGACGTTCCCATTTGGCATTAGCTTTAATAGCTTTGATACTGATACACTTTAGAACTGAACTTAGTACTTCGTTTAGAGTAGAGCAGACGAAATGTTTTTAGCTACCAAGTTTTTCCTATGAATAACACAATGTACAAGTAGCATTTCTGGATTCTCATTTTTTATCAATTTTAAGCTGACATTTTATTTGTCAACTTAGATTATTGACTACTTTTTAAATCAACAGATTTTGACAACACTTTTATCGAACGCTTATTTTAAATTGAGACTTTAACGATTCTCCTTTTAAAATGCAAGTTAAATCATACTAGCGGGGTGGTTTTCAAAATCTAGATAACTCATTTTCGATTTGCGCCCCCCCTCCCCCCTAAACAATCAAATTGCCCCCCCTGTGGCATTAAAGACAGTGGAGGCGTTGAAGACTTGTCGTTTTGTGATCTTGTCGTTTTGTCACCTTGTCGTTTTGTGATCTTGTCGTTTTGTCCTTTTGTCATGGAACAATTTCTGCACATGCTTTCTGTCAGGAATGCATTTAAATTTTAAGAAAGTTTAAATTATTGTTCTACTTTTTGGTGCGTTTCAACTCGTCTTTGATTGGAGTTAGAATTATTAGAAAGGTTTTTTTTTAAAATAACTTTAAAATCACTGTTAATTTTCTTATTTTTAGTACCGGTACGGTTTTAAAAGTCTAAGTGTAATCTTTAAATTATCCACTTAAGTATAATTGTTTACTTTTGAATGGGATTTAATCAAAATCAATATTGAGGTACCGGTACTTTATTTCTAAAGACTATTTTGATGCCTCCTGTGTTTGTGAAATACCGGTATATGAGATTTTATCGTATAATTCGCTACCCGGTACTAATAATTTTTAAGTACCCGGTTGTTAAAAGGTCCTGTCTGATTTGGCGCCCGGGGTGAATTCCCCCATTGCATGACCATGGTTTTAGTTTTAGTTGTACCGGAAGGTATTTTCAATCCCGTCGTAGTCAGTTAAGGCAAGTACCGGTACACCGTTAGCAAATTAAACAATACTACAATTTACCGGTACCGGTATTTAAGTTTAAGATTAAAAGCACACCAAGATCTGACTTGAAAATTTGCATCTTCTAATTCTCCAATTAAATCAGGTTGGCCAACCCACGTCGATGAACCTTGTGACCCGCCAGCTCTACCACTACCAGAAATGAACTGATGGCTTTGTTCAATTGGTGTGCATTATTGGCTCACACTACTCACAGAGAGTCACACTCTTAACAAAAAAAAAATAATTATTTCTGCAACTACTTACTATCCGGTCTACTAATTTTTTTAGTAATTTCTTCTACGCATGTTCTCTGATTTAGTGATCAGTGTAGATGAGATGAATGATGCAAAACTTAATTCAGGTACAGGGTATGAATGAATTAAATGCATATTTTATGTCAAAAATTAACTTCGATGTTGATCCCCTCCCAAAAACCCAAGTTTTGCTTGGGAGACTGCGACTCAGGGGCGTAGCGAAGGGGGGTGGGAAGATGTCCCCGGGCGTCAGCTAGTTAGGGGCGCTAAAATCTGCTTTGATATTATTTTGATGAAAATAATGGGTTTGAGAGTTGAAAAAAAGAAAAAGGGGCTCTTTAAAATGAATCTTGTCCCCGGGCGCCTAACACCCTCGCTATGCCTCTGCTGCGACTTCGATGGGTTCAATCGATTTCCGCTCCCCCACCCCCATCTTCCGGAGCTATCAAAGTCTGGTACCGGTACCTTTTTAAATTTATATACCGAAACACTGATTTAACTAATATACTGTTACTGGTACATACCATCAAATTTCAAATATAAATTATAGTGGGCCGTTCCCAGCTATGACGACACTCACTTATTTTTGTTTTCTTTCTCTATTTTTAATATTTTCATTTGAACTTCGTCTAAATAGAATAAGTTAAAATTAAAAGGCGTTACCCGATATGTGTAGTGTGTAGAAGAATTTAACCAATGTTTTAATGTACCGGTAAGTCACAATGTTGGACAAAGGTTCGTCACAAGACAAAAAAAAATATTTAACACCCTAGCTTATGGTTGCTGCACGGGAACCAAAATTGCCACTCCTATACTAAAAGGTGTCACCCCACACGTTCTACAAGTAGAATTAAATTAAGAGATCTTTTAAAATTGACTTAAATAATGCCATCTCGTTAGCCCTGGTACCGATACTTTTAGTGACTCGTGTTAGTCTAAATGTTGCCGCTACGTCTTATACTTGGGCAAATGGATGCCTGTCAGACAAAATTTGGCCAACGGTGTTCACTCACTAATAAAAAGAAAACGTAAAACTGCACATTTATTTATACGGTACCAGACAGGTAATAAATTATCCACTAATTTTCAACTGAAATGTAGTAACTTTGCCTCATGTCCTCTTTAGCTAATCATGGGCCCCATTCTGAAGTTGTCCATTTCTAGAAGATACAAATGCTGAAACTTGACAAATACAGAAATAATTAAGCCAACACATTATGTTCCGCCAGTGAGCCAGAAGTATATTGCGCTCCTTTATTTCCATGTGCCCCTGCGGACAGACATTTGTGACACATATCTCTACTAAAAACTCATGACAAAGAAAATATAACACACTATGTAAATTGAAAAAAAAAATGTCAACAACTGATGAGTACAACTACTTCTATCTGAATCTTTTAGTGACATTACAGTAATCGTTTTTCTCTCAAGCAAATTCAGCCTAACAATACATCTATTATAAACCCTATCTGTGAGGGAAACTAGAAAGCAAGCAACAGTACAAATTCCCAATGTTACTCAAAATGTAAATAGATCAAATGTGCTGATAATCACGACTTAATCATTGCACATTTTTTATTACACTTTATTTCATTATTCAAAGTGGATTATATAAATTTCACAGCACATTTTATTTTATTGTATAAAAAGATTTACATTCTTTTGTCTGATATAAAATTTATATTTTAAAATCTGCCCTTTAGATAGGGGCTAAAAATTAATGCATGCCGTTCATTTTCCATTTCCTTCACACCCTATGGAGTTTGGCAGACCGGTAGTAGAGGCTGGAGGTGGAGGGGAGGCAATGGCTCCATAAGCTAAACTAGATCCTCTTTGAGTTGTTTTTAGGTGGGACTAGCAAAAGCAAAAGCGATCGATAGACCCACCCAAGAAATGCATAAATAATAAAGTGTGGTAAGGTACCAGAAATTCAAACTTCTCAGTCTGTCTGGACCACACTGGCGTAACCCTAAGACCCGGTCAACCTTTCTGTTAGAAGCTTGAGAAATGATCTAGTCAGATCAGAAGGTGGGATGCATAAAGCTAGGAAGCTCATGTAATTTATAAATGATGAAAATAACCTTACAAGAAAAACTTGTGCAGGTCTTTCCAACATTAAGAAGAGTTAATCCTTGAGATGAATTGTATGGCTGATGGAATATATGATGACCAAATAAATATATGAATATGATGCATGTCGGAATGTCAAACAAAACCTAAGAAAAGCAAAGTAATGAGAATGGATTATTTCATAATTTTAAAATGAATGCCCATCAATGAGCTTCCTAGCCAGCATCCCAACTTCAGTTTTGTTAAAAATATCTCACAGTAATGGCCTCGTATTTTTTTAAATAAAAAACAAAACAAACAAAATCACCTTGACCTGTTAAAATTACTGCCTAGATCTTATTCCCCATAACAAAAAATCCCTAGACATGATCTGAATGAATGATACTTCTTTCCTCTTGACCTAAAGCGCTCATCGTCTTGCAGAGACTCAACACCTTGGAAATTAAAGTTTTCAACAAGCCACTCCTCTGCTGGTCAAGCCAGTAAACTTGATAGTGAGCATGCCATGTCAACTGGTGCACAGGGAGTTAAGAAGTCCACTCAAGGGCGGGCCTGCCTACTCAATACGTGTTGTCTCAGAGGGATGAGGAACGCCTGGCCAACCGACTGTTCCATCAAACATTTTGTGATGGGGCCTCCTTCCACGGGTGGCTAGTCTAGTTCTGCGCTGCTGCCTTTGGGTTGTGGGGGGACTCAATGTCCCCCTTGAGTTCTAGTCAATTATACTCACACACACACACGAGTTCATATATTCATCATCAATTGTAGTAGCAAAACATTCAAATTAACTGTCGCACAAAGTCCAGACTAGAAACTAGACCTCACACTAGCTTTCCCGCCTGCCTGCCTTTCTCGCATAAATGCCTTTGAACCTGCCTGAAAGGGGGAAAAAAAACTAGATCAACCAGAAAATGGATAACAGAGTTGAATGTATTTTTTTTAAAACCAATCCTGTAATTTCTCTAGTGTCTAAGTTGTAAAAACTACATAGTAAAAAGATCACACAAACATTGTAATACTGGTAAACCAGGATGAATTATTTTTTCATTTTTTAGAGAGGAATTCTTATAGCTTACTATTTTTAAAAGCCTGACAAATTGAATAATATTTACCTGAGAAAAATGAGGATGAACCAAGTTAAGCTCATCATCGTCTGTTGAATCCACCATGTCCTCCATAACCATTTCCACCATTGTAGTTGTTACCACCATATCCTGCACAAGTCAAATTAATAATTCTGTCACAATAGCTAACAAAATGTTTTATTTAAAAAAAAAAAAAGAAGTAATGACAATAAAATTAAGCCACTAATCACCTCATATTTAGCAATATTAATAATAAGTAACAGCTCAACAAAATTTTATGTAAGTCTTTTGAAATTACTCATCTCGGAAAAATTATGTAGAGATTTTGTGTATACACGTACACAGTATCATGGATGAACATTATGTCTCGTATATATATTCATATGTTTGTAGCATACAAATATGATAAATGGAAAAATAACTAACGAAAAAGTACAACAGGTTTAAATAGTATCAGCTTTTGATAAGTTATAAGTGTAAGATTATTAGGAGAAAAAAAAAGGACATATTTTAGATTGAATAAAGTCCTATTGATTGCTACCAAAGCTAACTTCACACACATGTAAAGTATCTATTTTTGCGACATATTAAAAATAAAATACATACGTGGATTTCCTTGGTTGACCCCAGGACCGTAGTTGCCATAGTCATTGTATCCACCTTGCCAGCCACCCTGACCATAACCACCCCCATAACCAGGACCATAGCCACCTCCATAACCACCTGAAACAAGATGTTAAAAATATAGTAAAATAACAGGATTTAAATTTTTTTTTCTTTTTCTTCTTCAATTGAAACTGGTAAATCTAACTACTGACTTTATAAAATTAATTCTGATCTTCCTATCTCATTCCTGAACAAAGGGAAGTAACTCCCTTTAGGCCATTGAATAACGTTTGTTAAATGTGATTTAGCTGCTAAATATTAATGACTTTTGGATCAATGCATCCAGAAATGAATTAAAATATGCAAATGGAGAAAAAAATAATGAGCAATGACCAACATTTTCTTTATTTCCCGCACTTTGGATGAAAACATGATAGAAAATATAAACACACCATACTACGACCGACACAAAAGATTGTAACAAAATAAAAACTGAAGTTTTTAAAATAAAATCACAGGGAATCCCAAAGGATGCGATATTTCTTAGTTATTTTTTTAAAATACAAGCTGTGATGCTTTTTGTCACACAACAGTCGGTAATGAGTTAATTTGAGAATTGAAGTACTAGAATCTAAAAGAAAACTGCTTTTTTAAATTAGGTATGAAAAAAAAATTTCTTGAATTATTGTTTCCCAAACACTAATGCAGTTTTCATTGCAAAACTGAAGGATCATAAAACAAAATAGATGATGAAAATTTTTATTTACCCTTACCGCCATAACCTTGACCACCAAATCCAAAGTCACCTCGTCCTGCAAAAGACCAATTACCTTTAAAATAAATGTGAAAAATGTATTCCAACAGACGACATTGAGTACAGGGCGCCATTTACAGTATAAACTTGTATACAAGTCAATCTTGTCTATAAAATAAGTTGCTTTTTTAAACCAACAATCGTGAATTATGACTCCAGGATAAGTTGAGGGTAAAGCTTGTGCCAGATTCATAATTACACATAAGTACCAAAATTTCATTGCCCAACTGCCATTACTAAAAACCTCTACGAATATCAGCACAATTTCAAACCATAATTATTTTTTTTTTTAACTAGTCCAGAGCCTTTTTAAATGTATCCTAAACCATTTTCTCATCTGGAGGGAAAAGAAAAGCTGCTTACTAATAATTGAATAAAGAAATAACTAGGATAATCTATAACATTTCCCCATGTGGTCTTTAACAATGTTAGGCAGTTTCAACAAATCCCATAAAATATTTGTTTAAAAGACAGAAATTGCATACCTCCACGTCCCATGGGCATTCCCATTCCCATGCCCATCCCCATTCCAGGCATACGACCCCGAGCATCCATTTCCCCTTTTGCAAAGGCTTTCTTTACTTCTACTTTCCTGGAATTTAGGCTGACCCGTTTCTTTACTGTAAATGGAAGTGAATTGCATCTTTGTATAAATATATCAATTATAATAATAAATTACTAATTATTAAGTCTTTGCAAACAAAAAGTATTTAAAACAAAAAAAAGTTCATAGTAAATGAAGAAAACAATTTTTTAAATTATTAAATATTCATATTAAATTACTTACAAACACATTTGTCAACCGAGTCATAGTCCTTAAAGGTAACAAAGCAGAATCCTTTGCTTTTGCCAGTGTTCTTGTCCGTTATAAGATCAACAAGTTCAATTTCACCATATTCGGAGAAGACATCCTTGATCATCTCCTCTGTTGTATCCTCTTTCAGACCACCAACAAACATCTTCTTCACTGTCTGTTGATTATTAATGCTGGGATCCTGAAGGAATAATTAAAGGAAATCCTTTTTTTTAAAAATCTGTAAAGGCAAAATTAGTTAAGGCTTCGTAAAAGCTTAATAACATCAAACACTGGTTGCTTAGAAAACCTTACCCATTATGACCAATATGAGTTAGTAAACTCATTCCCTATGGTTGCAACTAAATTTGTTAAAAAAGCAATAAAATATCACACCACAAGACTTAGGGTGATGGCGTGATTTCATTTTTAAAAAGCAGAAGATTTCACCCAGTTTTAAAAAAAAAAAGGCTTGTTAGTACAGTTCGTCCTATGCATAGCATGTGTTAGTCCAAGGTGCCAAAAATTATTTTGGGTTTTTTTCACCATTTATTTAGCAGCTTATGTTACATTTTTCTTAACAATTTGCAGTTCGATTATAGACAATGGTATATAATAATATATTAGTACCATTGGGGGGGATGGGGTGTGTGTGTGTGGTTTATGTGTAAAAAATTAATTTTTGTTAAAACAATTTACATTTTCATGATTTGTTTCATTGATTGAATTAGCCTTTAAAGAAATATCTTACCATATTGGAAGTTACTGTTTATGAAAAATTTATTATGCACGATAAACCTTTTACAAAAGTAAAGAGGTCACAAAAACGAAGTAATAATGTCAAATGATTTAAATTTTGCAATTTATGGGGGATCTTGAAAATTATTTTGCTTTGGATTAAAGTGTACAACCTAATGCTTTTGTAAACAAGTAAGCTTAACTTTATTTTATCCCCGTTTTGAAATTCTTTATATTAAAGGAATATATGGAGATATTAGATCAATACAAATAGATGGCAAAAAACAGGTATTGGGAAATAAATATTTCAGCAAGCAGTTACTGAATCTTTTAATGTTAATTACTGGTTTGTAGCAATATTTTGAAGAAAAAAAACAACTTGATTCTATTTTTGAATAATTAATATGGTTACATAGATGTATTCTGTTATATTTTTCTGAAGAATGATCTTCCAAATCTTTTAGGCCCCTCCTCCCTTTTATAAAATACATTGAATTTTATAAAAATAAAATTTTGAGAATTATAGATTCCGCAAAATAAAATTCACAACTGCTTTATTTGTCATAGATTAGGTACTTCAATACTGGGGCTGCAGACTGTTTTGGTATGTCTCTTGAGCAGACTGCGCCATTTTCTAAAAATATATGAAATTCCCTCTTAAAAATTAATTCTGGGTTGGATTCCACGTTTAGAGGGTATAAATACTGTTTCAATTTCCCCACACAAAGATGAACAGTTAGAAACTGAAGTTCGGGCAAGCGTTGGAACATCAGTATTTTAGTTTTTAACTTAATGATTCACATAAATGAAATAAAACTACAGCTAATACACTTAGGAAAGTGAATCACTATAATTAAACCTCACCAAACTGAGGTTAGCCTTATAGTAGAAGTGATATTTTCTATTGTAATCAGCGATTACACATTTTTAAAAACAATTTAAAAATCAATAAATTAAATAAATTTGATAACCTAATCAAATAAAATACTGAGCAATATGATAAATTAGGTCTTTATTGTGATGTGCACTAACATATGAAAGACATGATTGCATATTTATTTTATCTTAAATTTGCCCATGATCTAGATCTTCTGTCCCATTAATTTTGTCAATTACAGTATGTAGAATAATCAACTACAAGTCTTAGGTAACAAAACAGTCTAATAGTAAAATTTAAGTAAAATCTTATGACTGTTGCTTTTGTTTCAAAACATTAACATTTTCATGATAGGTCTCTTTTGAAAGTTTTAACTTGACCCCAGGATGATTACTATCGGTATTTACAAGAACTCTGAAGGTCTGAAGCATTTGGAGATTTTAAAATATTAAAATTGTTTCTGCTTCTTTTTTTTACGTGGAATTTTATTTACTTCCTTTGATTTTAAACTGCAGGATATCAACCAATTGATCTGATACTGATGATGGAGGAAGACGTTTTTGATCAACAGTGGGTAAAGAAGTGTTGCTTGAGTTTCGGAGCCAGATTTTTTTTTATTTTATATTTTATATAAAATGTTTTAAATTTTCTTTTTGAGTATTTTGTAACATTTGGATTGTCACTGTACTGTAAATTTTATTAGCATTATTAGTTTAAAAGTTATGTATTTAAATATAAAAATGTCTTGGACATGGTAGCTTTGCAAGAAATATTTTTTTCTAATATTGCATACATTTTTCTGATCCACATTTTTCTTATTTTAACCATGCCTCACCTTTAAATGTACATTATACGTTTTTGTTTGTATTGAAAATTTTATAGCAATAGCTTTCTTGGTTTAATAAGTATGTTTTTTTGTAAAGTAAAATTTATTGACAATTGTCAGTATCCACGACATATGCTCTTAAAATCCTATTTTATAAAATAGACGTTAAATCATAATTCACATGTTTTGTTAAACATTGTCTAGTAAATGTCTCCTCCAAATTTGAGGGCTCTAACTTTAAAAGACAAAAATGTGCAAACAAAATAGTACAAAAAGGGTAATAATTGAATCAGTTTATAAAATAAATTTAAATCATTGGCAAAATTAGTTCAGGAATATGGATTAATGTTAGTATTGAATAAAAAAATTAGAACATTATTGACTTACGTCTCTGGGCATAGCTCGTTTTGTTTCTACTTCACGATCATCAATCTTGTGGGGTCTATCTTTTTGTACACTGTCAACACTGTCCTTGTCTTTGTATGTGATAAAACCAAAACCTCTTGATCTGTAATTGAAAAAAATCAATTTCAAATATCACAATAAATTATCCCAGCATTTGCTATTACACAATTTTAATGGATTTATTGGAATCTTATTTCCTAAATCTAAATAACCAAAACACAAGAATTTGACTTTAAAAAAAATAATTGTTACTATTGAATATATAATGATTACCTTTTGCTGTTCGGATCTCTCATAACAATGCAATCAACTATTTCACCCCATTTAGAGAAATATTGTTTCAGGCTGTTTTCATCTGTGTCAAAGCTTAAGCCCCCAATGAAAAGTTTTCGGAATTGCTCAGAGTTGGGATCAGGGTCACCATCTCCACCACCGTAACGATTTGGACCACCCCTAAAGCCACCAGCTGGAGGACCTCCATAACCTCGTTGACTATACTGGAAAAACAAGAGAAAAAAGCTTAATATTGAAAAACAGCTTGAAAACCAGGTTCTTTAATTTCATACATGTTATACTAGTATAAAAAAATTAATTTATATGGGGGCGGGGTGTGAAACATGAAATTTGGGGGAGGGGGATGAGTTGTGACAGACATTTTTACTCCTTCAAATTCTTTATACCCTGATTATTTAATTTTTATTGGATGGAGGTTTGAGGAAGAACTATTATTTGGGGATATGTTAGGGTGTTATGAAGACAGAGTTGAAGGTCTAAGTTAAAATACTAGATAAAAATTTTACAGATAAATCTGCCAGAAACAAACAACTTCTAGCCTTCATTTACATACTTTGGGTTCCCAAAGATAATGCTTCATTATATAATATACAATAATTTCAGTACTTTCTAAATCCCCCCTCCTCCCCACCCTTTTGTAACATGCATATAACTACAATTTTACATTTCTAATTATACCATGGTTATGTGACATGGGTCATGACCCCCATGACCTCAAATGAGTTCACAGGGTTTTCTGTGGGGGGTCATAAGTGGAAAAATTCAAATAACTTTAAATCAATACCCATAAGAATTTCATATTAGTCATAAAATGGTTGACAAGTATAATGTATATAGTAAGTACTTCCTAAGTCTACATTTAGTTGATTTAGTTATACAAATTTAAGTAGTCATGTGAGTTTGAATAGTAAGTAGAATATATGAACATGAAGATTCTTGCATTTAAATCATCAGAATTTTAAGCAAACTTGGAAAATGCAAGATAAGCTGGGTGAGGGACCAGCATTATTGCAAAGCGAATTCTCACAAATATTTATTATTTACGGACTGTGCAAAACAGGCCCACCAACTTTGTCCTACACTGCCATTAGTAGGCATTAGACAATGAAATTTTGCAGCATGTTCTGGTCCCATTTTAGTTGAGACCTCAATGGACAATGCATAGTTACTACCAATGCATGCATAATAGTAGAGTTATGATTTTTTAAAAAGATTATTCCTTAAAGTATTTAAATCAATATTCGTGTGTTTTAACAAAGCTGATACTATAATTATATGAAAATAAGGTCAGTGCGCTCTTGAGTGACCTCTCCAGCGCGCTTGTTGAGAACAAAATGGCGCTGACCTCAAAGAAACCACGCGTGCTGTAGTTGCACATGAGGCAATGAGAAAAGCTATTTTAAAACTTGCAACAAACCCAAATGACTCCTAAATAATAACCTAACGAAGGTCAACAAAATAATGACTTTTGTGAAACAAATACTTACTCCAGGCATTATATTAAAGTGTAGAAGAATAAGTTTTTCAAAAAGATGCGACCCTAGAAAACGACGCCAGTTGGGCAAGAGAATTCGCACTTGGCGGCTACACACATTCCGAATATTTTCACCTTCATTACATGCAGAATCCGTTAAGGAATCAAATCCACGTCGGAATGCCAGATAGGCACGAACTATGCGAAGCATAAAAAAAAGCTATATCACGAGTTTAAAAGTTTTATTTATGTAATAGTTTATCTTTATCAATTTAAAATTTGACTAATATGTATATTTTTTGTTGTGAATTTTCAATTAGATATTGTTTAAATCTTATTTATGAAAACTTTCAGCCAAACTTTCAATAAATAAATTAACGTTTAAGAAAAAAAAATCGTATTTATCATAAATAAATCATATAGTTAATGTTTTGTTTCTTTTCATTTAATTAGTATGCTTTTGTGAGCCACCCATAAACAATAGAGCGTCGATTTTCCGAAAGCATGTTATCCGAACTGCGATTATCTTCTTAATTCTTTTTTTTATTATCATAGGCAGTGCGCAGTGGCGTAGCGAGGGTGTTTGGCGCCCGGGGACAAGATTCGCGCCTGGGGACAAGATCCATTTTTAACGCCACTTTTTCTTTTTTTCAACTCTCAAACCCATTATTTTCATCAATAAAATAATATCAAAGCACATTTTGGCGCCCCTAACTAGCTGGCGCCCGGGGACATCTGTCCCCCCCCTGCCCCCACCATGCCACGCCTCTGGCAGTGCGTGTTGCTTAGACTTAGAGCATTGTATTATAATAAGTGGCGTAGGAAGGGGGCGATTCACCCAGCCGGCACTTTTTCCATTATACGGAGGGCAGCATTTTTGGAAACTTGGGTTTTTTTTCTTTGCCGGTGGGTGGCGTGGGAGATTTTGCGTATATGCGCTTAAGGGGACGGGGATCTCAGCAGTATGTGAACGTAAAATTTATGCATAAATTCTGAAACAATCATCCTGTAACTCTGACAGCCCATAAATAGCCAATATATATCTCTAATAAAGCCATCTGGTGCCTAAAAATCAGTGAAATCATGGTATTTTTTTTTTTTATTAAAGGCTAACAAAATATCACCTTAATGTTTCATAATTTCATCCTTTGTTTCTTCACAAATGAACTAACTAAATATCACAACAGTACTGATCCGTTGCGTAAGTCTGCAACCCATACGACTGAATGGGTCCTTGGATATTTAAGGGCCAAAACTTGTGATGTGGGAAAAGAATTATACACTTTTGAATTTGGGGGTGGGGGGAGAAAAATAAAGCATGAAAAGTCGCAGAGGGCCTGCAAAAGTTATGCGACGGCTCTGCAACGGTAGTATTAAGCATAGCGAGATCTTTAGTTCACTGTATTGATCCGTGCGTGTAACGTAATTTGTTTACGTATTTATGTCATTCAGCTGAACCAAATATTTTATCCCCAACTTGAAACGAATAGCCATCGTGGAAAGGTGTGTGTGTGGGGGGGGGGAGCAGTGACTTTATTTTATTAAAAGCTTTACTGTGATTTTTAAAAACCTGTATTGCTTGATGAACGTCACAATTATATAAACATAAATTAAAACCAATTTTATTTTATCATTTTTTTTTTTGTGTGGGTTGAATCTAACTTTTACGTACGTAAATGAGGGATCCAATTATGTATGGGTGCAACAGGTGGGGGAAGGGATGTAAAAATTTGACTTTTTGGCATACGTAATATGTGGATGGCCCTTTACAAAATAAACGTTATACATTAGACTTACAATTAGATGTTTTGACTAAGAACGTCTGATAAAGACACAATGTCCGTGTATGAATTCAACAACAGTTAAATAAAATTTAATGTAACATTTGTATGTAGTGTGTAATTACTTATAAGTTATACTGTGTTCAAGTAACACCCATGACACCGGAGAGTTGATTTCAGCTTTTAAATGCAGCAAACGAAACAATCCATTTATTTATACTTCATCATTCTCCATGAAGTAACTTGTGAAACAATTTGGGTAATCGTTGTATATAATAAGCTAGTATTTTAAGTTGAAGCCAACGGATTTAGATATATTTTTATATTAATATTAGGGTAGAGAGGACAGATGTGACTTAGTTAATGGTGCATTTAAAAACTCAAATTGTGTACTAATTATACCTCATATCTTTTGGTACATATTGTGTCATTAAAATTAATTTTTAAATTAAATTATTTTTTAATATGAACTAATAAATAACTAAAATTTCGAGTATCTTTTAAGTTAAATGATTTGCTTTTTGCTGCTTTGTATAGCATTAACAACTCATCGATAATTGAGCTGGCTTCAACAAATAACTACATATACGATTTAAAAATCATCAATTTGTTGTCCACTGTGTCGGTGGCGTATCTAGGATTTGTGCCACAGTGGTGGGCCAGTCTTTTTGATGCCATGCCACCCCAAACTAATATAGTAAAAAATACTGAGTAATCGTTTTGTTTTATTTCCCATATTAAGTTTGTTACCTGCAGAAATTCAAAAGGCAAGCAAGGGAGATTTTATTCTCCCATTCCCCAGGTCAGATTAGAAGCAACTACCTACTTCCGACCCCACTGTGTAGACGCCCCCAAAATTGGGTAAAGTTCCTCTACCTAATACGTAGATTTTCACGTTTCCATCTATTTTGCAAAAAAAAAAAAAAAAAATGCATGAAATTTGCCAAAGATATTGTTGGTTTCAATAATTGCCAAAGATATTGTTGGTTTCAATAACGGGTAAGTTTTGTTTTTTAAATAATCATTATCCTTAAACAACGTATGTTAAAATATTTTTTTCTTTAGAAATAGTTGTAATTATAATTAAAATTATTTGACAGTTATGTCATGTCTGAAAATGCCCCGTTAGCTTTTTACCGTAACACCGAAAATTGTGGAGTTAGCTGAAAGAAACTTTCTGTTCAGCATCTATCGCCAACGATCATTTGGCAAGTCGACGACTCCCAAATGGCCCATTCCGGAATAGGTAATCTCGCGAGGTATCGTGCATTAAATATTCATGCTTAATTAATTTTTTTTAAAAAATCATTTTTAATATATTTCCATGAAGCTGAATTTGAAAGATCGAATTAATATTTGGAGAATATTTGAAATGAATCGATCTAATAATAATGGTTTCTAAATTTATAATTTACATTTTTTATGTAATTGAATTGATTAGTTCGTCCTACAACAGACCGCGAAAACTAACATTTTACATTGCCCTTGTCCTCCTCACCTACTTTCCCCCCACTGTCAATCTTACTGGTCCCCGTAAAACAATATTTTAAGATTAGGGGTTATCAAACAAATGAAAATGGGTCTCTTTCCCAGACTATGTTACACAATAGAATGCTAGTCGCTTTTTGTTGGAGTATTGTTTGAGCTGAACCGGTGTAAATTAAAAACTTCACCACATAGGCCTAACCTGCGATTTAAATGGATCAAATATAATTTATAATTCCCCTAAACAATCAAGCATCTATAAAAAGTAATCTAGAAAATTTACAGATAGACTTAATACTCATTTGCTACAGAAAATGAAAATTAAGAAGTGCAGCATTTCATAAGAAATGTAATGCGCTCTACCTAGTTTAGATCTATTATCAGCTATAAACTTCACGCAAAAACAATAATTTAACCTTTATTTTTAATTTAAGAACCGCTGCCTAAATTATCTTAAAACTAGTTGAAGCCTACTAACTAAGCTCATATCGCCCCTCGGGCCTATGGTATCGAAAAAAAGTCAGATGAAGTTAATTATTATTGGTTTTATCCCTTACTCCTTTGTAATAGGCTGAGGTTATTAATCCTTGCACGTGAAGATTTTGGCTTTGAGCAGTTGAGGAGAACAAATTAGTTGCGTCAAAGAAATTGTGATTTAACTACCAGTAATTAAAGTTAAAGAAATGAGAACTACGGGGAATGGGAGACGATAAGACATAGGACGCATGGCTTTATTTATTTTTTTAAAAATCAGCTAAGCAGTTAGTGACAGGTAACCCCTGGTCGCCTATATTATTTTAGCCAAGTATGTCTATATTAACCTATAGTAATAACTGCGTATCACCCTTCTTCAATTTCTTGACGACACCACGGCGTATTGAAATTTAGGTTACTTATAACTTATAGGAATAATTATAGGCCTACGGTTATAATATGGCATCCTTCCGTCTTCGCGAGACGATGGAGTAGATGTAGACCTACACTTTGACGAGTGGCTCTCTAGGCCAATCCTGGAATGACAGTCTCGACTGCATTTCTCTCAGGAGAATTGGCCTTCCGTATTCTTTTTGTTACAAGGGCTTCGCTTGGCGGATCTTCAGCCTTTTTGACTCCTTCATAAACTGCTTTACGCCAGCTGGAACGTGTCGGAACGTTGTTCGGCAATGATCAATGTTGATTTCAATGTTGGCTTCCCTCATGCTCCTTTTGCAAACGTCCATAAATCTCATCTCAGGCGTAGCCGTCCAATAAATAAGTCTTGCGACTTGTGCCAACTCTCCATACAGCAGCATCTTTGGAATACGGCCTTCCTCCATTCTCTTTACATGGTCTGGGATGGTTCCCATGCTGGAGGCCGCCTTCCCAACTTCATGGGATGGGAAAACACAACATGTTAAGTGGGATCAGAAGCGCAGCCACCCCCCCCCCCCGTTACTGCCCAGTTAAATTACAGAGTACACTATTCAGAACCTTTTTATTTCAATTTTAATCAATTTGGTTTTGTGAAATATATATGGATCTTTAAGTTTCAATTCAAGTTTTTAACACTAAGAATGATTCACTTAAATTTAAATAATAATTGTGTACTTTATGCATAATATTTAGTGTAAGTCACAGCTTGGCACCTCCACATAAATGACTTAATGAAACAGACAAACAAAGATACCGGTAAACATTTTTCTTTCATCTTGAATTTTACAAATATATACTTCAAGCGCCTAATTATGAATCAATGATTGTTCATGTTATTATGTTACATATAATTATAATAATAAATAACGTTGCTGGTGAGGAAAGCATTTCATTCACTAATCATAATAAAATATATACTATGACCCTGTAAGGTCTAATGATAACATTTCATCTCAAAGATTGCAAATTCTTTTTATTGGAAAAACATACAGATGGAGGTTTTTGGGGGTGTGCATCCAGCTTGATAAGGCAGCCCTGCTCTACTTGCAGGCCACTGACTGATCTTGAATGTTTATTTTTATCATCCAATGATAAAGTGTTTTATTTCCTTTTGTTTTTTTTATATATTGCAAAATTAATATGATATAATTAACAGTTTCAGTCTTGTGCATGGTGACATGCACAACTCAAAATGTAAGGCGGCCCGTAATACATAATGAAAAACTTGAGCGGGCCAAAAGAAAATAGGTCAGGTGGAAAGCTATTAAGAAAATAATAAGAATAAAGAATTTTTCGTTACTTCGTAGGCCACAAAGTGGGGGGGGGGGGGGGGGGGGGGGAAAAAAATTTTTAACATTTGGGGGGGGGGGGGGNACTTTGTGACAGGGGGGTGGGGGGTGTTGGGGTTCTGAAAATGTTATTTTTGGTGTGACTTAATTTGCGAACGACCCCTTAGTCATACATAGTTTAAAATTATCAATGAACTATAATTATAACCAAGAGGAAATTTTAACACTTCATTACAAACTGACACTGAATTTGCTTTAAAACATTTATAATAAAAGCATTTTTATTGCAAGAAATTTTTTGAAGTGGAATTATTTTTCTATTTGACAAGGAGATTACAACACGAGTAGTTATAAATTAGTCCTCTTTTAAAGAATCTCTTTGTGGTCCCTGGTTCAAATACTCCCGAAGCAATTTCTCAGCCTTGTCTCTGTTGGAAAGTTTGGATGCTTTTCCCCTGAACATTCCTTTGCTAAGGGCTCCCTTTCCCTCTAAGACATCACAGATCCTGGGTTAAATATTTCAAGATCATTAATAAACGCCTTAATGAAATGCATATTCTTATCTCTTGATTTTTCATTTAAAATACAGGGGCAAAGTTCATTTTGCATTATTTATTTGTACTTCTCTGTTAACACTAATCTCTGATATGAACAGCTTAACATAATTTTATTCCACTTTTTTTCATATATCTTCTAAATTTTGTAAAAGTGGTATAGGAAATCTATAAATTTTGTTCAAAATCCGTTTAAAATGTTAAATGATAAATGGTTTTAAATATTATGAAAATGAAAAGATACACGCTTATTCATCCTTACTTGCTTCCCATATCCTTCAACAGCACATCAGACCCAGCCAACACAAATATTCCATCTTCCTTTTCATTCCCTGCAGTGATTAGTTTGGGCAAGGTCTAGAAATCAATAAAAAAAAATAATAATAGTAAGGGACCCCCCATAAATGATGTCACATTTTGGGGTGGGGGTGGGTGGTGAGTGTGTGTGTGTGTGTTCGAGTAATATGACATAACATTAAATATGCACTTAATAACACTAAATTACAGACATTTGAACTTTTTAAATTTAATTTCTTTTATTTTTAAAATAGGATCTAGAAAGTTTGTAAAGGACGGTAGTGGACGGAGGGATTTTTTTATAGGTGGGGGTTGCAGAAGTTCGTAACATTATATTTGAGAGTGTGTCTAGCTGTTTGTGACAATGGGACGGTGAAAAATAAGCAAAATTTGTGTGACATCATTTATAGATGGCCCCCCAATTGGAAATCAACATAACATTTATCAGTTGGCAGTAAATCAGTTTTTAAAAAAAGTAACATCCCTGCAAAGAAGTACTTGAACATTTGTAGCAATTTGAAAATTAAAAATGTAATTTAGGAAAAATTCAAAACATGCCCCATCAGGAAAGTGTTAATCTCTCTACTTCATTGGCTCCCTGTAACGCACGGATTGACTACAAACTCTGTGTTCTCTCTCACTTTTTCTCAAATTCCTCCCTTTCCTATCTCACTAAGAATCTCTCTGTCTATTCACCCCTTCGACAACTTCGCTCCTCTGCAGACGAACGTATTCTTTCTGTCCCCAAGACTCGCACAAAAACATACGCTGAACGATCATTGTCTTTCTGTGCCCCAAAACAATGGAATTCTCAAGAGCCAGTGAAGTGAGTGAAGTAGTGGAGTGACGTGATCATGTTTCTTTGCCTTTAGAACTAACCTAGCAGCTGAGTTTGGAACTTTCTGCTGTTTTTCCATGAAATGTTTTGGTGAACACTGACAGAAAAGAGTTAAACTTTTTCAAGACGAGAGAGAACAAGAGCACAGACCAGTGTTTTACATTTTACAAAGAACAGGTTGGGTAACTTTGTGCTGACCTGCAGGGAAACTTCCCACTTGTCAAAATTTGCATAGACATATGATCAAAAAGCATTAACTACCAGCATGACAAAGAGGCTCCTTACCTCATCTCCAAGTTCCCCAATTAACACACTAATGTAATCATTGTTTCCTTCCATTCTGTAAAAAATTAAGATGTTGAATCTCAATATAATCGTAGAAGATGACCAGATGTTAATCGTAAGCATTTTGGGATACCTTCTACCTGCTATTTCAAAGTCTCAACAACTAAAAATCACATTTTTAGGTATGATGGTATAGTATATAAATGAATCGGGTTTGTATCCTCAGAAAAAAAAAATTCCATGTTGAAATGTATAGGGGGAAATAGTTAATCAGACTTTCCTTATTTCAAAAAGACCTACCTATGTATTGATTTTTGATGTTTACGTTTCCAACATCATTTAGATATGAGAAATATTTATCTGCTATATAATAATATGGGCCTACCCTTCCCCTTTTCTCGCCTCAGAAATGAAAAAAAAAACAAAACAAAAAAACATTTTCCCTAAAAATAGTAAAAATATTTCCTTAATAAAAATCAATATACCATTTTAAATCTTTTTAACATCTTTGAAATTTGATATATTGGTATCTTCATTTAAAATTTAACCAAACTTTTGAATTCTTACATCTAATTAATCTAAAGAAAAATCTCTTAACCAATTTTCATCCCCATAACAGCCTTGAGTTTTTGTTATAAATATTATTAATCTCATAAAAATTGACACCCACTTTTCCATGAACTTTACTTTTCGCAAAGTGGAAAAAACATATATTTCATATTTGGAAAGAATATCTTCACCAATCTTTGTTCATGTCCCTTAATTGTAAATGAAAAAAAAAAAATTGATATATTTTTAAGATTAAAATGATAGGCTTTTGAGGTATGGGTATAAATACAGGGTGGGCCAATAAAAGTGAGAACATCTCGTTGCATATGATTTATTTCAAAATATAATTTAATTAATTATAATTCTTCATGGAATTTTTTTTTGCAAGATATTTAGCAAATCAGAAATCATGTTCAATGTGTCCTCCTTGCTTCTCAACAACTTTAAGCTAGTATGGGTATAGTTAAACTAAATTTGATGTGATTAAATCACATTTTACAAGATGTTCTCACTTTTACTGGCCCACCCTGTAGATTAATGTACCGACTGTTTGTCAATGAATGTGAACTTTATTTTCTGAATTGATATAACATATCATTATATAGTTTAAAAGAACATCTAACACCTGTTTTCAAGACTGTCATGTCATAGAATTTAAAGATATTTTTGTATTATCATCCACAGAAAAATGGATGCATCCAATTCCCTCCCCCTGATATCTGTGTACGGAAGAAGGTTACCGTAATTATCAATCAAATGCAATCCTCCATTCTAAGGTGTATATTATGCTGCCTGGGGCAAAATAAAAGAATGGCAACGGCAACCCCCCCCCCCCCCCCCAAGTTTTAATAAACATTAAAATCAGCCACGGGATGGTAACCCTTTGTGTACACAACCGCACATTTTTTGCATGTCCGTGAACTACATTAATATTCTAATATCTCACCCCACTTTTACCATACATTGTTTCACATTTCCTAAAAAAAAATGTTTAACCCATAATGCCTTACATTTAAGGATTATGGTTATTTATTTAACATAAAAATATATACCCGTAACAAAGTTCAAATCTGTTAAATAATTGAATTTTGAGATATTGATAACAATTATGCACTAATTTCAACTCCAGATTATGGTTTGTTGTTATTTAGATGAGTCATAAGTGAGTTTGTGAGTGGTATTCTTATTTGACTTTACTTTGTATTTAATAATGGCTTGAACTTGAACTGCATTTCCTTCTTTAAAATATTTTTTAAACTGTATAAATATGCATACAGTTACTTATAAATATGATAGATGCAAATTTTTGGAATGAAAAATAAGTAAAACATAAAATGTTAAGTATAAAAAGCTAAAATGTCATGTGGTATATTAATAATTTAAAAGCAATAAATTAAATGTATTTTTAAACAGGTGGACAAAACATCAGTTGTGTCACACACTAGTAAATTCAAATCAAAGAAAGTTAAAGCATGTGATCTGCAGTTCAAATTAAGTTCTTAAAAGATTATTCTAATTTTTGTTTCAACGAGTTCAAGCAAAATTTTTAATTTGATATCGCTGGAAGTTATTTGGACAATTAACATAAATGTAAATTCACCGTATTAACTGCGTTATCTACTTTAATTATAAGCAGATATATTTTATTGTTATCATATTCATATTTTTAATTGGTAAATTTAAATGTATTCAAGTTCCATAAAATAATAGAAAATTCCCATCATTGTTTATAAGAATCAAAGCGTACTTAAATTGATTCAGTTGTTTTTTTTTGGCTTCACATGGATACCTTAGCTTCTTCTTATTCATCTATTGCTTTATCTGAGCCAATAAAATAATACCTCCACTTGTCCCAGCTGTGTTGTTTTTTCTTGTAAGATATAAAGAGACAGTCTAAACCAGTGTTGTTTTGTTTGCAGTTAGCTAATTAATCATGGTACCTTAGGGCTAGAGAAGCTTTTGTCATAGTACCCAAAGGTGTAGAGAAGCTGTTGTCATGGTAACCTAGGGTTGGAGTAACTGTAAATTTGTATTAAAGAAATATATTTTAAAGGAGATAATTGAGAGAGATTATCTGCAGTTCTTACCTATGTTTAACAAATAAGTTATCTTTCTGTGAAGATTGTTTAAAAATGGCCACTTCAAGGGTTGCCAGCTCTCTTAGTTGGAGATTGCAAGCCTGAATAGAATTTAATCTTATGATTATTGCTGTTAAAACACATCTAGACAAAGAAATGAATACTGTTAGCTATATAGCATAAGCAATTGACTAACAAAGGGTAGCTCAAACAATCTAGCAAGAACCTTACCATTAAAAATGGCCAATGCTAAAAAAAAAATATTAGCACCAAGATGTCATTTATCGATCACATGAGCAATATATGACTTATTTATTAGAAAAAACAGAACTGCCTGTGAAATGTTTTTGTAATACCTTTTGCATGGCTTTGAATCCTTTGACAGCCTTGTCAGCAAGGTCAGCATGTTGGTCAGCTGATCCCCTGTATTACACATTTTCAAACTTAAACTTACTTAAAAAATAAATTGGCTAGGTTGTTTTGTATTTAAAAAATTGATACCATGACAGAAAATGAGTATTATCTAAGAGAAGTTGAAGAATTTGTTATAAAAGAATATTAAAACACAAAAAAAACAACAGTTTAATATTTTTAATCTGACTAAATTATATTAAAATGAATTGTTAAAATTAAATGTTAAGAGACTAATTCAGAGCTTAAATAAATAATTTACATTTTGTAGAAATTATACATGATGAATTATGATGCCTAACAGTAGAAGTATTATGAAGATATGGATGTTACGTTAAACTTTAGTCAAATTAACAAACTTGAGAATCCCTGTCAGCAACTTTTCCCTCTTGAAACTTGACTCCACATAATGTAACAGTCTACCTCCCGCTAGAAAGCTCAGATTCATTTTATTTTTTTTCCCCTTTTCAGCTCCTAAAATTTTGATGGCCTGATGAAAGAGACAAAGATTCTTTTCTCTCTTTTTTTTTCAAGAATAAGAAGCTGTCTGTGCTACACTATGTTCTAACACCATTAAACTGATATCATATGAGAAAAAACAAACTTTTTTTGGTGTATTTTGAACTATTTACAAAGTAATAAAGTTAAACTTTGTTAGGCCACATTCTTAAATAAGGACTTGATGCTTTGAAAGTCAGACCTGATTACCCTGCAACTTCCAAAATAGTACAATCTCATTTCAGAATAGCAATTTACCATCTCACAATCTTACAGTACCATTTTGCCATATTAAATACATAAACATGCAGTATAATGTGTACAATAACTATTAATGCATGTCTAAAAAAGGCCCCTTCCAAAAGTAGATGAACTGGCTTCTATATATTTGTAATTGGATACAGTGCTTTATTGAAAAATAAAAAGGTGCTTGGCCGTCAATGCTACTTTGATAGACGAAGGTGGGTTGGGGGAAAGTGGAAAAGTACGGCAGAAGCCAGGTACTGCCGTATAAATCTGTCACTATCAGCAAATGATGTTGAGGATGAAATAGCTAAATTACGTAGATACTGATCAAAGCCAAAAAATTAGCTCTGATTCCTTATTCAGGTGTGCCACCATTCCCAAACTTTGGGCAACAGGTCATTTAAACCAACAAAGAGGATTTAAGCTTTCTCTTGACCAACATTGAATAGATTTCGCTGCCATTATTGAACATGTGCAAACAGTTTTTTTCTAAATCCAGTGAAAAACCAAGCAAAAACCCGTTGTAAAAAAAGGCGTTAAAAAAATGTTTGCTTACAAATTATAAATCTTTTTTAATTGTTTACGTGGTAGAAGAATAGAAAAGAAGGCAAACTTTTGTGACAAACCTGGATATGAGAAAGATTTGATACATGAGTTCCACAGCACAAAGTTTGATCAATGCCTTCTATTTTTAGAACTCTGACAGGCCCCACATGGTCTGCTGGTAAACCCAAGCCCCTGGCCTTTAATAAAAGAAAACAACACATTTTTCACATGAAAAATTGAAAGTTTCAATAGGTATAAAGTACCGTATTTGATTTTTATTGATGAAAGAGAATTATTTAAGTTTTACTGAACATTTACAAACAGATTATTCTGACATTTAGGTTATAATTTTAGCGAAGATTAAGAAGCTAATAAACTATAAAACTAACTTTCTTTAATTCAGGATCATCTTTGTCACTGTATAATATGGGAGTCACAGATATATTGTCTCTAATACTTTCATTAACAGTTCTATCAATCTCCAAGATTTGGTCCACTGTAATTACAGGTGTGTCTAGTTCAATGAAAACTGCATCTGTCCCTAGGTTCCTAAAAAGAAAAAAAAAGTGTTGAATTGAATGTTTGGTTGTATGGAATTACAGTGTGTACTGGTACCTTTACCATGAAACAGCTGACGTCGTGTGCAATGGCAAGCAAAGATAAACACGTAAAACAGTAACTGACTACAAATTTACAAACAAGAAAAACTTAGGATGGAATCAGTTTAAGTCTAATGCAAGCTTCGGATACACAAAGAAAAAACAATTATTTATGGAGGGGGGGGGGGGGGGTTAAACAAAAGGACTTGTCTGAGAGGGCAGCCACTAAATGATGTCTCTTTTTATGGACATAAAAACCAAAGTCTAAAGGTCAAAGATCTAAAAATATGTTTGTCATAACATAAAAAGGATTAACAAATGATACTACTATTAAAAGAGATTTTTTTAAGCCTTTTCAGAGACGGTATATCACTCATCTACGATTCTAAAAATCTGAAGCAATTAAGGGCATTTTAAAGATATACCCATATTTTGGAATTCATAGATTAATGGTTTAGCTTTTACAGAGTAAAAATAAAAACACATAAATTATAAATGCAGTTCTATGATAAGACCAGGAAATGAAAAAAAACAGACTCTAGACTACCATACCAGTACATCACATTAATACATTTTATTAGCGACATACTATGGAGGCCAGGGCCAGCTTATGTTGGGTAAGATGCATGGCCATTGCACAGGCACCAAGATGGGAAAATGTATTTAGCAATTAACATTTTTAATTTAAACAATTTTTTTACTCTGGGATGTGAATAGGGCAATAAGAATTTTTCACATACTATCTAAGTCCTTAGTGCTGGTCCTGATGAACATTGTCAAGATCAATAAGTCTACACCTTTGTAGCATTTAAGACTGAGATTTATAATGTCTTAAAGAATGTAAAAGACTTAATGACTAACCATGAAGTGGTCTTGAAACCAAACTTCTGATGTGTGATGGCAGTAATTAGGTGCTGTGCTAGCAAAGAGCAAAAAAAGTCAAACATTCATTATTTATAATTACATTATTTTCATAATTTTTAAGAAAATATAAAAGGGGTTAAAAGAAAATATAAGGCAGTAACCAAGGGAACCATTTATAATGGTATAATTGAATGACACGCAGCCATATCAGCATACCCATCCCTCTCTTGTCGATTCCGCAGTCCATACTTTGCGAGAGAGCATTGGTGATGCCAAGACATGCAAGTTGAAGCTTAACGATGACTAAACGGATGCACTCCTAATTCATGATCACAAATCATCCTCTAACTCAGTTCTCCCCACCTCATTTCAAGTAAGTAACTCCGACATACAGTTTACATCCTCCGGTTTCTCTCGATAATCATATCTCTCACATTTGTTGCTCTGCATACACCGTTATCCATCAAATCAGCTCCATTTGCCACTACCTCACAGTTAGTGCAACAAAAACCCTAGTCTATGCTCTTGTTCTCTCTCGTCTTGACTCTCTTCTGTCAGGTTCACCAAAACACTTCTTAGAAAAATTATAAAAGGTTCAAAACTCAGCTGCTAGGCTAGTTCTAAAGGCAAAAAAACGTGATCACACCACTACTTTATTCACTTCATTGGCTCTCTGTACAAGCACGGATTGGCTACAAACTCTCTGTTCTCTGCCACAACTTTTTCTCGAATTCGTGCCCTTCCTATCTAACTGAAATTCTTTCTTTCTATTCACCCCTTGGACAGCTTCGCTCCTCCGCAGACATGCTTATTCTTTCTGTCCCCAAGACTGGCACAAAAACATACGGTGAACGATCGTTCTCTTTCTTTGCACCCAAACAATGGAATTCTCCTCCATTACACATTCACAATATACCGACCATCACAGCCTTCAAAACTGCACTCAAAATGCATCTCTTTAAACTCTACTATCCTGAGTGCCCCCTCTAACCGATAAACGGTGCTGCTGGGTGCCGTCCATGGCTTTATATGTAAATAGTTCTTGAATGGGTGGAGTGATTATACATTTGTTTCGTTTTATTTAATTAATGAATGTTAATTAATTTTTTAAGTTCATGATTATGTTTGTTAAATTGTAATTGTATGTACAGCGTGGTGAGTCCAGCCCTAGGCTGGGGTACCACTATATATAAAACCACCAATAATATTCATAATAATAATAATAATAATACTGGATCCTTTTTGTATCTGGCTGGAATACAATTTTACTGTAAGTAAGGAAGCAATTTAACAATAAAAGCTGTCTACAAATAACCTGAATGTTGCTGCATATGATCAAATCTCCTTGACCAGTCTACAATAACCTTGACTTCCGTATCTTGTGCTATTTCTGAAGTAACAAAGTGGACAGCATCTGCAGCCACTCTGGCAACTTTTAAAACCGGAATGTCATTAATCTAAAAGAAAAGTTGTTAATTTACTAAGTAAACAATGCATCCGAAAATTTAAACAAAGTTCTAATATACCACTTGTTCTATAATCAATATCAATTTTAAAAATTATTGATTTCAAAATTAAAAGTGTTATGAGAAAAATGCTGTTACCATGATATAATCTTCAGCCCCCTGATATTCTTCTTCATACCCTGGACATAACCAGCTTCCCACTAAGTCTAAGAGTTCAAAAGAATTTTTTGAACTTTGCATAGGTATTTTTTTATTTTTATTCCATGTCTTAGCCTAAGCAAGGGTTTATTTCTAAATACTGGTAAACAACATTGATTTGACTTTGTGCAAGTTATAAAACTTATAAAAGAGAAAATTACAACATTTTTTTAAATTGGTAGCAAGAACAGAGATTAGTAGAATCACTAAGGGTGGTGGCAGTTTTTTCTTCAATTGGGAGTTAAAAATTTTGTTTTGTAACAACTTCTTTAAAGCCTTTAATTATTTTGTAATATTTGTGCCAAACCATTGCTTAAAATTTGCAAATTCTAGAATTTTGCATGAGGAAATGGCATAGATTCAGCCATTAATGAAGAGTTTAGAGCTTCAAGCCTGCCTTGGCATCCACTAGGAGCCGTTAGGATAGCAGCTTCGCTTCCCCAACCATTGCACATATGCCTGTAAATGGATTCAGCAACGTACCCTACCAGATACCAGATATGGATATTGAGTTGATGAGAAACTCAGGGGTTTCAAAATTGTTAGTTTGTTACTATTTTAAGAATCTACTGATGGGTAACTTTGTTAGAATGAAAGAGAGTTTTTTTTACTTACTGTGCCTCTGTCCTCTGGCTGGCATAAAAAAAAAAAAAATCAAGCAATTCAATGAAAACACATTTATCTGATACATATAATTATTACTTTGGCTAAATTAAATTTTAAATCTTATACTTATTCAGTTAAAAGTTAGGATTTGCATATTTAAAACCTTCTCTTAAGATATAAATATTATTATGCATTTAAATTTTAAAAATAAAATCAAGTTTTAAAATTACTACCAATTTAAAAAAAACTATTTTTCACTTTACAATTTGAATAAATAATATATAATTAGATACTGGTACTGGTATAAAATCTGTAAAAAAAAAAACCATTGACATTGTCAAACCTGGCCTCCACCTTCTGGGAAAAGAATTGTATCATCTAGTATCACTTCATAGCCTTGAACTTTATCTTTTTTCCCATTTTCTAACAACACTGTACCAGAAGCTGGGGTACAACTTTTTACCCTAGTGTGAAACTATAATATAGAAATAGAAAGAAATAATGTAAGTGGAAAAAAATAAACCAAATTGTTCAGACAGTTTTGAAAGATTCAATAAATGCTAAATGTTCAATTTAATGAGTACCGGTATTATTCATAGGGGTCGTCCATTAATTATGTCAACAAAATAAGCGGGAGGGGAAGAGGGTTTGGAAATGTTTGACAATTGTTGACAAGGGGTGGGGGTTTAGATTATGGACCCGGACATGCATCGCCGCTATTCGGACCCAGGTCCCATTAGACTAAATACTATTCGGATGTCATTTGTGGTTGTTTATATTATATTAGTTCAGTTAAGCTGAAGACTTAAGTTTACAAACACATAGTCCATTCAATTATCTTTCATGCCATACCAAATTTTATCTTACAAACCCAACAATAATATTTTAAATATTTTTTAATAAACTATAAATTCCAACCTCTCATTTCTGATACCAGGTCCGAATAGAATAGTGGAAGCCATTAATAACTAACTTAACTAAGTTTAAAAAATATGTAGCATAGTTATATTATCTCACTTCTTTAAGGTAACTGTTTTGTTGACACATTAAACTCATGCTCTTGTCTTGTATTATTTTCTGCCAACGCCAACTGCAATAGTATTTGAATAGTAAGAATTATAAAAGTTACAGTGATTTGTTAATTTGTAATGAACTGGAGTTTAAAAGTAAAAGTCAGCACCGCCATAACTGTGAATGTCTGCAATCAATTAATAAGAGCCAGAAGGATTAATTCGTGGCTCCTCAAAATATAATATACTCAAAATTCACTCAATATGTATTTAGTTTAGTAATACCGGTATTTAATAATATGCGTCTTCAACTTGCCCCGGCATTAGCTGGTCTTTACTTGGCGTAAGGGCCTAAGTTTAAGCCTCAACTTTACTGGAAATACCAACTCAACAACGACGGTGTTAAGACATTGAAATAGCTTAAAATTAAAAAGCCAAGTGAAAATAAATTAGATTAACCATTCATTGTATCTCACATTTCTTTTTAAAATCTCCAATGTAGCTGGCAATATAATTTTAGAACCTCGGCAATTAGGTATCTCTGCCAAAATCTGATTAAACACCGAGATAAAATATTTTGTAGCATATATTAATATATAGTTATGATTTGTATATTTTATCTGGTAAAAATAATAAAATACATTATGAACTCAGAGCATACTAACTTTTTTAGGTCCTAACTTTAAAAACAAAAGTTGGGGGGGGATAAAGAAATAAATTTTAATAAATTTTAGTTATAGCTTAAATATCTATATAACCTAACTATATTTATACTTCCTCAGCATCTTAGAATATTGTCAAACCCTAGCTATCCCCAATGCAGCGTTCTCAACCTGTAGGTCGTGACTCCTTTAGGGGTCGAACTACAAATATTTTATATTTGCTGGGTCACCACAACATGAGAAACTGTATTAAAGGGTCGCGGCATTAGAAAGGTTGAAAACCACTGCCCTAATGCCTAATTCATGTGATTATAAACCTTGTTTAGAGCGAGTTTTATATCTGTTGAAGTATTTAATTATTTTTATTTATTTATATAATTATAATAGTGAACAGACAAGTACCCAACATATTTTTAAGTAGCCTACTATCATGAATAATAGTAGTAATTCATTAATTAAGCAATCCTAATCCGTGTTGAAATGACCGAATGAAAAGCTCTAGACTTTCAAAGACGGCTAATTAGTTAAATTACCTTTATTTATTAGCGCACTCATATTTTAGGTCTTGTCTTTATCAGGAAGTTAATTTCATACATTCATATTTAACATAAATTGTATATTATGTATGATTTTTTCGATCCATATTTAGCAATAGAATGTGTTTAAATTTTAATTTCAAAGAATTTAGCTTGAAATAATATTATTATGTTATTTCTGTTTAAGAATGTGACACTAGACTTGTAATTTTTGCCTTTTGAGAATGTTTTTGGCATAAAATAATGCACCCATGTTTCATTTCAGTTATGTCTCGGTAAAAAGGCTGACCCCCTTATCAGGACGGAAATAGTTTGATCATTTATCAGAACTGAATTTTGTTTATTTTACCAATTTAAGAAAGTTGTATCGTCTATATCATAGAGCAAACGGATTATATTTTTCTGAAAAATGTCATGCATGGAAACCTGATTTAAAAAGAATAAGACAGTTTTGAGAAACATAGCCAATTTTGGCATCATTCTTAAAGATGCAGAGTAAGTAGTCCTGCGTTCGGCGTTCTCACGGTTATGCATACCAACTAAATATTAAAATAAATATAACTACAACTTCCTTATGGATTATTAATTAATAATTATTAGTACAGCATGTGCCAAAATTAGCATTACTGATTTCGAGTCCCCAAACGCGTGTTTGCGTTTGTCCACAGTTAATTCCAGCTGCTAAATGACCATTATAGACCACATCCATTTAAATTTATGCCTAATGTCTAATGTAAAAGGTCTAGGCCTAATTAATTGGTCTCTCCATGATATTGAACTCCATGGTCCATAAGTAGGCTGCATATCATAGATGAGCAATATTTTTACTCATATGTTTTGAATGTAAATGTCATGTTCATGGTGACCCTGTTTGACAAAATGTGGAAAAAATAATGCCCATTCATTGAGATTTATTACAAAAAAAGATGGAAAAAAGATGGCAAAAGTAATTAGTAACACACACAGGTTATGGAACCATACTCCATACTGTCAACAGAAGGGGAAATCTGATTGCCTAGTATGTTAATGTAACTTTCTTCAGAGAATGAAAACTGGATCCACAATAAATCATCCTGGCTCACACTCACACATCTGGCTCTGTCAACCGTTATCCAACCTGTATACAGTATGTGGACAATGTGGTCTTAAAATGGACCTATGACGCCTATGCCTATATATAGTCAGCTATTTTAAGTTTGAAAGATGTTCCTAGTAGATTTTACTGGGTCGAACCCAGCACCTTCAGGAGAAATGGGTATGATTCTCATTATAAAAAATTTGACACCTCCGGGAAATGTGGCTGCTGGAGCTATGCACCATTGACAAAGGCACATGCACGTTCAAGATACAAGAGTTTCCGTACTGTTTCTGTTTGCACGTATTGTACTTACTAGATTTATGTATTATTAAGTTAATTATAATTTCATTCCTTGTAGCTAACTAGTACTCTATACCTGTTTAAACTTTTAGACTTATTATTAGAGTAAGGACAAAGCTTACATATTTTAATACGAGTGAGTGCAAACTTCTGACACTCTGTTTCTTCACCTGCCTTACGCTCATCTGCCATAAATTACACTGAATAGTACCTCCAGTTGTCTGATTTAGTGACTAATTGTGAAATCAAAATGTGTGATTTTTAATAAATTGCCTACTTATTAACTACATTTAATATCAAAGAAAAAGCTCTTGAACATATGAATGGTTAATGAGAATATTCAGTTCACTATATAGGGAGGCCAATTAATTGGTAATTTACCGACAGGCTCATCTGTGCAAACCTGTGACTGTGAGAACAGTTTCAGTAGTTAAGTAAGTTTTCAGTATCACCAGGCTTATCTAACAAATTTACTTCTGGGCAAAATGTCTTGTTATTTTAATTCTATTTACCTTTATAATTGTTTACACTTAGGCTTTTGGCCTATCTGTAATTAAATATAATTTTGTGTGATTAAATTATGAAGATTAATGTTAAAGAAATTGTAGAATTATGAAAGGAAATAAACTTTTCACTTTAATGTTAGATTTAAACTATATGTCTTAAAAAAATATTGTCAATGAACCAGCTACATTGAATTTAATATTTTACCCTAGCTATAATTAGTCTTAAATATGATCCTGTACGCATAGCAATTTTCCCATCTTTTAGCTTTAATGTGCTTAAAATTTGGAATGTTGCATAAATTGTCCTGAAGGACCTTTGTCTAATTCAACGCTTGAACCCTTAGCCAATGATCAAATAGCAAAATCTGTGAGTGCTATTTTAAATAATTTTATGTTAATATAATCTGAGCAATAAGGCACAAGCAGAATAAAAAAAACGAAGAAATATTAACCCTTATTTCTATTTCACATGAAATTATTCTGATATGATATCATATAACTTATTGTTTAATTCCAAGAATTATTTGGCACCAATTTTATATTTCTGTATAGAGGTAATCAACTTTGGTAATTCATAATGCATTTGTGATTAATGCCATAAATGGGAACCCCTACTGTTGTGATTGTGTATCCTATCTATATTTAAATAACGTAACTTTCAAAGAACAATGCTCTAAAATTTCAGCCCTGACAATGTTTCTTTTAAGAGAAGCACACAAAAAAATAAAAGTTGAAAAAGAAAACAAAAATAATTTAGTTTCAAAGACGAACTTGCATTGAACTGGCCATTTTTGGAGATGTTGCGTAACAAAAGCAGAAGGAACTTTATCTTGAAAATAAATGGAACTTGGTTGAGCAGTATAAACAGTATATTATAAAAGATGATAATCACATCCATGTAGGGTGTTAAAAAAAATATCCTTGACATTTAAATATTTTATTTTGAAAATGTAAAGGTACAAACGCACAAGAAAAGTAGTACATTTTGTAAGATGGCTGGTTCATTAGATACATTTCTAAACCAAATATTACATTTACATTCTTACAACTTTGATATCTAAAACAATGATTCAAAATCAGAACTTGCTGAAAGAAAGTTAGAATATATCTGTCCAGGAACCATTTCACTTCCTGTTGGGTCGACTGCAGAGAGTTGGGTTTCCTTTTATTTAACAACTTTGTATGCATTAAAAAATGTATACTTAGACTTAAAGCTACTGGAAATTTATGTATGAGGGATATAAATTTGTAGTTATGTCAAAAGGGGAAAATGTGTTGTACATGCATATTAGTTTTGTTTTTATTGTGGTCTCTCATTGTAAAAAATTTACATTTAAGTAAGGGAATCTTTTCAAGTTCTGCATATCTGCAACTGTCAGTAAGCATAATTGATTTAAATAAACTTTCAATAAAACTTTCATCAATACATTACATTCTTCTGAGCAAATAATGACAACTTTAAAAAAAAGCAATTTAAAAATGCAACAAAACAATATCTGTTTTAAAAAGTCATTGATACTGTAATGGCCTAAATTTCCATATGTGAATAATTCACATATTTCACTGTCTAATAAATTACAATAAGGCCCACAGCTAATTTTAAATTGTTAAATAGTAGGACAACTGTCTATTTATTTTCAATAAGTTTATTTTTGTGTCTGCTGTGTCCGTCCAACCTATTATAATGGTTTGTGAAGTGCATCTCCATAAGCCCGAGATCAAAGTGTCTTCCTTTGTTGTTTACTAAAAAGTTTTTCCCATCTACCAAATATTTTACTCCTCATAACAGCAAAATACAAAAATATGAAAAACTTTTCATAAGTATATAAAAGATAGGTCTCTACTTCAGTATCAGTAAGAAGCAAGCTTATTTTTGTGCAGCTGATAAAATACTATTTGCTATATTAAATGGTTATGTTGATTAGTTTTAAAATAGAAACTACTTTCTTGCAATTCAGTAAATATTGTTTGCAAGTTATTAAAAGTACATTATTCTACATGGTGCTCACATTTTTGAAAGCTTCTTATTTTAAAAAAAATATTGGAGCTGGTGTTATGAAACAAATGTAGATTTGTGGTAAGGCAATGTACATTTCTTAAACTAATCTTAAACCATAATAGTCATGCATACTGTCAGATGCTTAATGGTTTTTGAGGATTACTATGTGAAATTTTATTGAAAAAAAATGCCATAATAGTTATAATAACTTAAAAATTTCAATTATTAGAGATAAGCCCTTATTAATTCATACAGTTAAAAAAATAAAAGTATTTTCCCCCAATCCTTTTAAACAGTTTGTTGCTATTGGGATCATGTTGCTGAGCCTCTTTAAACTTCCTGTTTATGATGACAAGGCTGGTGTGACATTTAAATCCAGTCTTCCCTAAACCCACTTGTTCAGAGGAAGCTCACTAAATAGTGTATTTTTCCATTACACCATTAGAAATTTCATTCAGTGAATAACTGGTATTTCCAACAAGAAAAAAATAAAAAGCATAAAAAATGAATCCACCGTGCCTCCGATTATTGAACATTTAGCTGTGTCGAATTCACCAAGTGAAAAATATGTGTAGTATTACTGAGTTGTTTAAAAAAGAAAAAAAGTTGTGTTGATAACAGTGGCAATTAGTAGATTATCTCTCTGACGCCAGTCATTCTATCATAATATTCAGAGCACAGTGATTGGCTATATTTTTCTCTTATATTATAAGTTTTATTTATAAGTTGTAGATCTGGTACATTTTTTCAAAAGGTGCATTTGTTTTTAAAGACTGGAAAAGGAGTCATGGATCAAATAATAAATATCTAATAAAGTTAAAAACTGTATTTACTTTTGTCAAGGGTGAACTCATGGATGCCATACACCTTCTCAAACAAAATCAACAAAAATGAAATAGATTCTTAGAAAACTCTAAAATAAATATCTTCACATTTGAGAAAATCTTCCTTTTACAACATTTTTCAACTTAAGATACTTGAATTGATTTTATATTATCCATGTATTTTAAATAGAAAAAGTCTTACTTGGAGTCAATTTTTTTTCATGGAGCTCAGTGCATTTAATTCTGACATTTAAAAATAAGGTTGCCTAGTGATCTTAAAATAAAGTGTTTTTTTTTAAATTTGGCTGCTGTATTGCTGTTTCAATGGACAGTATTTTGTTATTTAAACTCCAGGTATTTTTTATTTAACTGAACACTTACTCCTAATTGACGGATAAATATAAAAAAAAATAATTATTCCCAATGACACAAATGCTCTGGGCACAGTTCAAGATGGGAACTTGTTTCATCTGAAATAGTTCACCTTTGTTTTAACAATGACTAGTGATAAGAGGCACTTGTAGATTGTGGTACTTAATACTGTTTTAAAACTGTGTATTTGTTCAGAGTGGTTCTATGTATCAGTGCAAAGGTCACTGTGACACAGCTCATCTCCTTCAGCTGTCTCTTTTTCCGATGTTCATTCTTTGGTTATTTGATAGTCAATAGTCAATACAGATGAAGTTTAAAAAAAAAGAAAAAAAAGAAATCTGTTTCCCATCTCATTCAATGTGGATAGATTTTGTTGTTGTTTCAAGGTTATGATGATGACTTGACAGTGGATCATATTTTGTGTGTTTTTTTGTTGTTGTGAGAAACAATGAAAAAAAAAAGTTGTGTGGTAAATTATCATAAGAAAAATTCACTGGTCAAGACAAGAGACAAAAATGATCAATCATGTAATAATAGATAAAAAATAAATCTCAACAATCACCCTGCTCTGATGTAGTCCTTATTAGACATGACTATGGCAGAAAAAAGAATCCACCTTCATGAATCACCTGAGCCTGTCCTACGCAGGCGAACAGCCAGTCCTAGTACTATTATGGCTGCCGTTGCACTAAAAAATCCACCAAAGGACGGTGACAGAAAATTCACCATGCGGTGTTACTCCACCGACACCGCACTGGATTACACGTTGGGCTACCGGGAAGATTTGGACCCGGAAAAGGCTCAGTGCAGGAGGTCCACTAGCCTACAGCAGCACAATACCATCAGTGCTGGGATTTATAAGAAAAAGTCTGAGGTTAATAGTGAGAGTGGTGGGAGGGCCCCTCCCAAGATAGCTGCACCTGTTGTGCGTCAGAGGGCTAAGAGGAATAATGATTATGTTACTGTTGTTGCAGATGGAGAGGACACCCAGTGCACTCCCACATGGAACACCTACCGTGAGTATAGCGCATTATCATTTTATTACAATTTTCTAGTCTAGTCTATATCATAGCACCTTTTTTCATGTCACTATTTTTATTAATTTTATTGAAAAATTCAAGAAACATTGAGCAATGCAGAAGCATATTGCTTTCCGGGAGTCGAAATTAAAGATGCAAGTGTATTTAGCTTCTGATCATTCTAAATGTTTAAGACAGTCTTCTCCATAGAACAGTGTCTTGTCTATAGAATAGTTCATGTGTCTTGTCTGTAGAATAGTTAATGTGTCTGGTCTATAGAATAGTTCGTGTGTCTTGTCTGTAGAATAGTTCATGTGTCTTGTCTGTAGGATAGTTCATGTGTCTTGTCTATAAAATAGTTCATTTCCATTTATGCACATATGGTGATATAAACAAGATGTTGGCTAAATGAATCTGAATGAAATGGTTTGTTGTCATATTTAAATGATCCTATTTGATATAAATATATACATGATAAAATGCAATAATATGGGGGGTGGGGGGAACTAGTCATCATTCAGATGTATCAGGAATAAACAAGAGGGAAACTGTTTTTCATGTTCTTTGACCATTTCATCATCAACTGGACATTGACTATTATCTTTTGTCATCTCCCAGTGTATCAACTGCAACAGCAGGCCCCTAAGCCCATATGTATACTGTGTCAACAGGAGGTAAACATGGTTTTTATTCTTGGAAAATCAAAATAAAATTCATTACAAGATTCAATTTTTAAAATGTCTTGCATTTTATCAAGGGTAAACTTGACTAAATGTTATGAAAAAGTTAAAGGGTATTTTTCCTTGGAGCCAGATGATTTTTTTGTGTGCATATAAGAGCAAAAATATAACAAAGAAAATTTAAGGTGCCATGGCCACCTTGCGCTCGATATTTTTCTTCTCTCTGCTCTGTAACATTAATTTTGTCTGAATATGCTAATAAAATATGTGTTTTATTTAAATAAATAGTATGTGGCCAATGAAAGAGCGTCAGATCATCTTTATGACTTGCAATAAATTTAGTTTTTATTTTATCTGCCTCATATTTTTTTTTAAAAGCAGTATCCTCTAAAATTCAAACTCTATTTAAGTACCTCACTGAAGTGAATTTAAATGTGAAGTGGATGTCAGAGACAATTTTGTTACTTATATTTTTGGTGTATATGTGATCTTATTCATTTCTCAAATTTAATTCATTCCTTCATTTAGGTCCCCAACAAGCCACCTCAGTATGGAAAAGAGTAAGTATGCTTTTATGCTTGGTTGATCCCTATTATTTCTTTTCTGCTTCAATAACTCTGATACCACTAAACAATGGTAGGTATTTCAGTTGTAGTACATCATTTAGTCCCCACCAATCACAAGGGTAGGTCTTTCAGTTGTAGTACATCATTTAGTCCCCACCAATCACAATGGTAGGTCTTTCATTTGCAGTACATCATTTAGTCCCCACCAATCACAAGGGTTGGTCCATCAGTCATATGTTACATGTCATTTAGTCCCCACTAATGTCATGTTTAGCAATATCCCACGCAACATCAGTGTCATGATAGGTTTATGTACAAAACAGTTAATGTGGTGATCCAAAATATGTTTAAATTCCACTCTCTTCATTATTTGTATAGTTAAAGATTTCTGTCCAGAGGATGAAATACCCATTCTAGCAATTTATGAGTTAAATCAGAGCTCAGCAACTTTTTTTTCACGCGCAGCACTTCCCAGACCTTTTGGAATTTTCTTTCCAAGCAGTCCATGGCACACCCCAGGTCTTTCTTTCCAAGCTGTCCATGGCACACAACAGGCCTTTATTTCCAAGCAGTCCGTTGCACACCGCAGGCCTTTCTTTCCAAGCAGTCCGTGGCACACCCAAGTAAAACCATGCAAAAATTTACTGTATAAAATAATTTAGATAACAATTATAATGATGTGTAATGTATTGTATATCTATATAGTAAATGTTTTGGAAATATTTCTGTTGTTGCAGAGTTTGAAAGCTTGCTAATGGGTTAACCAATGTCCCTTTTGTATCTAAAATGATTTATCATATTTACATGCCCATACATACTCTTTTCCTTCTCTTGAAGGCACTTTGCGCGTAACACCTGCCATCGTCTTGTGGCCCACCCGGTGCGTAGCTCTGAGTCATATAATCACATGAAAACTTTCCCTACAATAAAAAATTTCACCATGGTCTGCGTTAAGGGTTTTAAAAAATGTTTGACATTGGTTTAATACACTTGCAGACATGGTAAGTATTTAATTTAAGCTGGGATTTGAATTAGGGCCCAATTTATATGAAATATGGAATGGATTAGTATATAAGAGAAGTCCTTATAGTGACATGCCAGTATTGCCCCAGATCAGTGGTCTGCAAATCGCAGCTCGCGACCTGGGTGTCGTTTGGCCAGTCAACCACAAATCGGTTTTGACTCCGAAAAACATGGTTCTTGACAGGTTCTTGAAAAGAAATTCGGCTCTCAAAAAAATTTGAATCGTCCCCCTGCTGATTTTCGGCTCTTTTGACTAATAAGTTTGCTGACCCCTGCCCTAAATTAACATATAAGGAAAGTCCTTACAGTGATGTGCTAGAATTGTCCAAAAATGAATATATAAGGAGTCCTTAGAGAGATTCAGTATTGCTCCTTAATCTTTTTTCTGGCATCCATCCGTCACAATGTGATGTTGGTGTGACTTCGCAGGATGAAATCACAAGGCCTGGGATTTTTCTTTATGAGGATAAGCTGGTTCCTAAGACAGCAAATCGCCCCTCTCCATGCACCTGGATAACCCGAGGGATAATCATATACGGATGATACAGCTTGGCTCCAGTAGCATCACAGGAGTTGCCAGAATTTTTATTGTGTCATGGTTATCCGCCTACGGGATGCCACCTCCGGGTTTGAATTCAGAGCTTTTCCATCTCTTAGATCAGTTGCCGTCCAAGGCTAACGAGCACCATCCACCTGCAGTGTTGGGTGGCCGAGCGGTCTCAACTGAGTCGATCCAAAAAAAAGCCATGGTCTGTAGTTAAATCCCCACCAAAGCCCAGTTTGCCCCATATTACCATGGACACAACTACAGACCCTGATTGTATGGCTGTACAAATGAAAGCAGTTGTTGAAACTACAAAATTTCAACAGAACCCTTGTATCAGATTCATGTGATGCTCAAGGAGAATTGATTTATCTAACTAATCATCCTTTACAAAATCAAAAGATTTAGCAATATTGTGTATAATGATAATGATGAAGAAGATTGACATTGATAAAAAAATATATATTTTTTTTTCTCTTTAGTGGTTTTCTGGGTTTTCCCCCTGGTCTTTAAAAGAGTTAGTCACACAACTAGTGTGCACTCAATTGTTTTTTTTGGTTTTGTTTGATGATTGCTCACTTGACATGGGGAGATGTTTTACATAAAAACAGTGATCTTCTCATCCTGGCTACATGAGTAGAGACTCATCCTCATTCTGCTTGATCCAATCATTTTTACCGTTCTCATCCTAACTCCGTTAACTAAATTATCTCTGCTGTACTCACACTGACAACATGTTTTAATCACATTGACTATATGTTTCACAAATCCTGACTATGTTTTATTCCCCATGACTATATGTTTTACTCTCATTGACTATATGTTTTACTTACCCTGACCATTTGTTTTCCTGACATTGACTAAATGTTTATAATCAAATTGACTATTTGTTTTACTGACATTGACTATCTGTTTAATAGGCACATTGACTTATTTTTCTACACTCATTGACTATAAGTTTTAATCACATTTGGTATGTTTACTCTCATTGACTTCAAGTTTCACATGCACACGGACTATATGTTTATAGGCACATGGACTATATGTTTTACTCACATTAACCAATGTTCTGCCTCACCCTGACTATATGGTGTAACGACCATGACTGCAACTTAATCTTAGCTTCATTACATCATCAATGTAACCTGATACAGTTTGCCCACCAACCACATGGACCCATAGAGCTGTTTAAGAAATGATTGCAAATATATTGATCACAATGTTAAACACAGAACTAAAATTGAATTTAAAAGACCATGTAACCAGCGGGGGGGGGGGGGGGGGAGAGGCTGTCGAATAGATACAATTCATCATTTATTATTTTGTTTGTATTGCAAGGGTTCAATCTCGTTTCCAGGGATATTGTTTGTTAAAAAAATGAAATAGATTATTCATGAAATCAGAATGATCCTTGTGTCCCTTTTGAAGTTTAGATTTTAAGTCCACAAATGCATTGTTCCCAGTGTGTTGTTGGGTTAGGGTCAATCTTCTTTGCAGGCATATTTCTTTTAAAAAAAACTAATTTAATAGACCATTCATGAAATCTAAATGATGCTTGTGTCCCAGTTGAAGTTTAGATTTAAAGTTATTTGCCATACCACAAATATTTTGTTCTGTTCCCTCTGTGTGGTTGGGTAAGTGTCAATCTCATTTCCAGGCCTGTTTGTTGTTTAAAAAAATTAACTAGACCAATTGGTGACACCAGGATGATCCTTGTGTCCCTGTTGAGGTTTAGATGTAAAGTAATGGCCAGTCCACAAATGCTCTGTTCCCAGCGTGCTGTTGGGTTAGTGTCATCATTGAAGTCAAGTGTCTGTGGCACTTGAGAGTGAGTTGTGACATGACTGTGTCAAGTGTGTCGATCCACTGCAGCACTCATCTCTCTCTCTCTCTTTTTAAGCCCAGTTATTCCTGTTTATGCAAATCAAAGTTTGAACTGTCTGGTCTGGTCAACATTAGCACAGAAGCACCTGATACATTTGATCACATCTTTATTGCCATCATTGAATCATTGGGTCTCATTTTGGTGGAACCTGACACATGGGGTCTCATTTTGGTGGATGGGGTCTCATGTTGGTGGAACCTGACACATTAGGTTTCATTTAGGTGGAACTTGACACATTGGGTTTCATTTAGGTGGAACCTGACACATTGGGCCTCATTTTGGTGGAACCTGACACACTGGGCTCATTTTGGTGGAACCTGGCCCATTGGGTCTCATTTTGGTGGAACCTGTCACATTGGGTCTCATTTAGGTGGAACTTGACACATTGGGTCTCATTTAGGTGGAACCTGACACATTGGGTCTCATTTTTGTGACATCAGACAAAGTTGTTTTTTTCTATGACATTTGGCACATGGGTTATCATCTTTTATATTTTGCACATGATTTCTTATTTGATAGTGGGCACATCAGTCCTCACCTCTGACATGTGTTACATGGGTTCTCATCTTTGATATTTGTTACATGGGTTCTCATCTTTGATATTTTGCAGATGGGTGCTCATTGTTTTTTTCTTAGTTTTGTCCCATACAGCTGTAAAACTAAACATAACTTCAAAAAAATTCCTGATTGCTATAACTATGTTACGGTCTATCATATTCTCAGGTTTCATGGTGCATTGAGCAGGCAAGAAGCTGACCGACTCTTACAGACTGGGGATGGGTGCTACCTGGTCAGAAAAAGTGAAAGGGCTCCGGATGCCTTCACTTTGGCCATCAGGTATGTAAAGGGGCCGCTTAAAGGTGCCGATTCGGAGAACCAAAGCATCAGTCTCAATTCAGCCATCTATGGGTCTTCATTTAACTCACACAATTATCTGAATTAGCATTTATTTCTATGGAAATTTTGAGTAATATTAGGTGTTTACAGTAAATGTCAGCAAAAAAGAATTGAATTCAAAATGGCGTCTGTTTAATCTTGGCATCCCAGGCTTTTCAAATTACCAGTCAAAGATAATTATCTTTAGTTTTGATTTTGAAAAAGATAGATTTTGACAGAGGATATAATCACTATAAGCTACTCATAGGAAACAACTATTTTACTTTTTTTTAAAATAATAGTTTAATTAAACTTTTTTTAACATTCAATAAGTTATTTAGTCATAAATCATATATATTTTTTAGGCCCCCCCCCGCTTAAAAAAACCCCAAAAACATTAAGAGTAATAAAAGTCTGTACTGCAGTAGAAATTTAATGCTAAGTTGGTCACTTAATTTATGTTAAATAGAGGGAAGCAACACTTTACCATGGCCACTTGAAAAAAGTTTTTTGTTGTACCTCCCTTGATATTCATTTATAAATGCTGAATTCTGATTGTTCAAACATAATTTTGTTATTAATTTTAGAAATTGACATTATTTAATGAGGAGAGACAGAAAGACTGATGTCAGCATGCCATATCATGGGACCTTCACGTGAATAGACTTAATCCAGTGCATGTCATTACAGAAGTTATGAAGCCAGCATATTTTATATGATGAGAAGCAGAGGCTGTTTCAATAACCTCAGTCTGATTCCTTAAATCCACAGGTTTGATGGGGAGACCAAAAACTACAAGCTTTACTTCGATGGCAAGCATTATGTGGGCGAGAAGCGGTTTGACTCCATCCACGACCTTGTGGCAGACGGGCTCATCCATTTCTACATTGAGCTGCGGGCAGCTGACTACATCAAAACCTTGTCTCAGGAATCAAACTATGAGGAGTCGCCATACATGGCGTATCACTTGAAGCGTAAACGTATGGGCAAATCTAAAACTGATGCCAATGTGAATGGAATAAGCAGTGAGGTAAATGGTGGTGTTTTTTTTTTTTAATTTCTTTCTTTTAATTGTAGTGTTAATTGTTATTTGCTTGACTAAGAGCTGCAGACAAATTATGTAACTGTATAAGTAAATTTAGTTCTGTTTAATTGCAGAGTCTTGACAACAAGGGATGAATGGGTATTTATTTTATTTGCTGCCAGAGTTACTGCCCTTTTCAACACAGGTCACCCTGCTTTGTTTCCCTTGGGTTAATTACAAAAGTCTCTCTAACACAAGTTTCCATTTCATGCTTAAAAGTAGCCTTGATGGTTAAAACATCTGCCCCAGTATTTCATCATATGTGGCCTGTCTCCCAGTTAGAATGTAGGCTACCAATGTGGTCCTTGATGTGTTTTTTATTTCTATGTAGCCTACCAATGTGGTCCTTGATGTGTTTTTTATTTCTATGTAGCCTACCAATGTGGTCCTTCATGTGTTTTTCTATTTCTATGTAGCCTACCAATGTGGTCCTTGATGTGTTTTTTTATTTCTATGTAGCCTACCAATGTGGTCCTTGATGTGTTTTTTATTTCTATGTAGGCTACCAATGTGGTCCTTGATGTGTTTTTTTATTTCTATGTAGCCTACCAATGTGGTCCTTGATGTGTTTTTTTATTTCTATGTAGCCTACCAATGTGGTCCTTGATGTGTTTTTTATTTCTATGTAGCCTACCAATGTGGTCCTTGATGTGTTTTTCTATTTCTATGTAGGCTACCAATGTGGTCCTTGATGTGTTTTTTTATTTCTATGTAGCCTACCAATGTGGTCCTTGATGTGTTTTTCTATTTCTATGTAGCCTACCAATGTGGTCCTTGATGTGTTTTTTTATTTCTATGTAGCCTACCAATGTGGTCCTTCATGTGTTTTTTATTTCTATGTAGGCTACCAATGTGGTCCTTGATGTGTTTTTTTATTTCTATATAGCCTACCAATGTGGTCAATGATGTGGAGGACTCGGGCCCGGCCACTGATTTCAATGATTATGAGAAACCGCATATATTTAAAGTAAGTCTCAAGTCAGTTCACCTATTTCCATTTTTGTCTCTGATCTCCCAGCAATGAACATGAAAAATGAAACACTATACCACTTGAGCCAAGTGAAATAATAATGACCTACACAGCAAGTTTTCACTTTATGACACCCCTGGCCACGACAAACAATCGTCATTGCACTTTATAATATTTTAAAAAAAATTTTAAACATTTTTTTTTTTTGTGTGTGTGTAAATGGAAATATTTGTTATGTGAAAGAATAATTTATTAATTTTAAAATCTATTCTCCTATGATCTTTATTTTATTAAATGAATGTGTATTTGAAATCCGCCCCTTTCATCAACAGCTTCAAAACTTCATGGGTCTTCACTGGTGTGACTTTTGTGCCAACTTCATGTGGGGTCTCTTAGCTCAAGGTGTTAAATGTCAAGGTAGGTCCCCAAAGGCTTGCATTCATTGTGACAAAATGGCCAAAATTTAAGATGATAACTTTATTTTTAGCATAATCTTCACTCTGTAGTTTATTGAGGCAGACAGATGCTTTTAGATGCGTTCAATAAGACATTACTTAGAGACAACACCTGACTCCCAATACATTCATCTCATCCTGGATCACCAACTGTCAGGAAATTTATGGAAAGTTTGTGCAAATTTGACATAAATTTACCTGCCCATAAGAACTTTGGGATGTCCTTTAAAAAAACTGAAAATTGTTCACAAAGCTTTTGAAGCGAAAGAAAACTGGAATCCTCAGCATTTTGCGATTTTTATTTTTCCAGCAGGATGTAATGAAACACTGCTAATAATGCCATTCAATAAACTAACGCCTGTTTTAGGGGTTTTAAGCCATTTGACAGATTTATATACTTGACAGAGACAAAGCCATACACCACTGATACTTTGATGCTTGTAGCTCATAAGTTTTAACATATTTATTTTAAAAAATGTTTCCATAAAATTTTGGAGAAAGAAAATCTTTGCCAGTAAAGTTTATTTTTATTGATTTGCCAACAATAGTCTCATTATTGGTATATGTGTATAGTTTGACCATATGATCTCATTATTGGTATATGTTTATCGAATGACCTTATGATCTCATTATTGGTATATGTTTATCGAATGACCTTATGATCTCATTATTGGTATATGTTTATCGAATGACCTTATGATCTCATTATTTGGTATATGTTTATCGAATGACCTTATGATCTCATTATTGGTAAATGTGTATTGATTGACCTGATGATTTTTTTTAAAATTTTGAGATTGCGGTCTACAAGCTCATAAAAAGTGCAGTGAGAAGGTTCCCAATGACTGCATGCCGGACATGAAGTATGTCAAGAGGATATTTGGTGGCGACCTGACCACCGTGGTCAAGGCACAAAAGTCTCTCATTCCCATCGTTGTGGAGAAGTGTGTCAAGGAAATAGAAGCAAGAGGTAGGTTTGAGGCATTCTATGAATCATGTTGTATTATTCTAAGAATCATGTTGTTGTATTCTAAGAATCATGTTTTGTATTCTAAGAATCATGTTTTGTATTCTAAGAATCATGTTGTTGTTTTCTATGAATCATGTTGTATTCTATGAATAATGGCCTTGCTTTAAGTATATAACTAAAATCTGAGAACAAACTGCTACCGAATATACTCATACCAGTGGATAGGTCGCCCCTTATTTTGGGGTTTTTCAAAGTGGGTATTTTTATTGACCAACAGATAGGTTGCAACCTTAGTGGGTATTTTTATTGACCTGCAGATATGTCATAACTTTAGTTTGGGGAGGTACCGTATTTTCCGGCATATATGATGACTTTTCAACACATGAAAATCTTTTCAAAAGTCGGGGGGGTCTTCTTATACGCTGGGGGTTGTCTTATAAGCTGGTCTACGGCGTGCTAAAACTTCAGAGACAGGCACCCTCTAGTTCCAGTTTGGTTGACAGCTTAGAAAACCAACAGCATGGCAGCTCCTATGGGTCAATTGTCTTATCCTTCCTTTCAGCTTCAGATTGAATTTGGAAAAGTTTAATCCACCTGCGCTGTTTTATGTTTACATGTTTGATGACAAACAGCCTTATGTTTATAAGTGACAGTTTTCCTGCTAAGTACCTGCATGTCATTAGCATTTGACTTAAAATTACCATATTGAAATCAAATGTGATGTTTTTTAATTTTTTTTTGATGTGCATTGGTAGAGGGGTAGTCTTATACGGAGAGTATAGCCCAACCCTATATTTTAACAGAAAAAGTATGGGGTCATTTTATACGCCCAGTCGTCTTATACACCGGAAAATACGGTGAATGACCCAATTTTTTTTAAACATAAAAGCAACTAATATTTGTTAAACAGATGTCACAAACAAATGTCCATAAAAATTGGAAAGCAATGGTCACAAGCTATGTCATCTTTAATAAACATTTTAAAAAATGGATTGCCCTCTCCTTGAGTGCTAGCAAGAGTTAGGGAGAAAAACGACTCTCTGAATTTTCTTACCCACACTGAATAGCAGAAAGCAAAATTGATGAGGAAAGGTTGCACCCCTGATTTTTATTGAAGTGTTTGGATTAAAGATGTGCAACCTGTGAGCTAGTACATACGGTAAAATGGAAATGTATAAAAAAAATAAGCATGTCTGAAATATTAGACAGAGGGAAGTGGGTGAAGATGGGAATATTCAAGGTGCTGCACCCTAGTCCAAATAATTTAACTCGTTCTGATCGATAAAAGTTGATGTTTGGCACAAAATGACTTCTGAATCGAAACCAGGAATATGTGTCAATTCCCGTCCCAGTTTACTTAACTGGTCTATGTAAACATTAGCAAGTCTCGTATAATAATTAACCAGGCTTATTAAATCATTCACATTGTTTGTGTTATCTTTTACAAGGCTCATGTAATCATTAACTATCTTTAAGGTTCACATTCAATAGCTAACTTAGTAAGTACTGTAAAAATCTCACAAAAGCTCAGGATTTTACTTGTAGTACCACAGGACACATATTTATAAAAATAAGATACACCCTTATTTTCCTTTCTAATAATTTTTCTGAAAATGAAATAATTTTTTTTTGTCTGCTTCATCTATATTTAATTCATTTCCCTTTTCAATAGTTGGATAACATCTGTTGAAAGCTAGGGAGATTAAATTTGAACTATGCTGACCTTTGAACTAAATTAACTAAGTCACTGTTCATTTCCCATCTTTTAATTTGGTTTGTTGGGTTAAGACACTTTATTTTAAATATTTGCACACTTAAAAACAAAAAAAAGAAGAAGAATTAAACTCCAATGTCTTTGTGGGTTTACTAGTTGCAACTGATGGTTCATTTTTTCCCCTTGCTTGAAGTTTTAGGATAAAGAGAATATGTAAAACAAAGCCTCCCATTGTTTGTAAAACAGATGAAATATTCAGTCATTTACTTTATTTCCCCCAGGTATGGACATGGAAGGATTGTACAGACTCGCTGGCTTCCATGACGATGTGGAGGCTGTGCGCATGACATTTGACAAAGGTAAAATGTTGCTTTAAAAAAAATTCCCACACCTGTATATCAGTTGTTTGAAATGTTTAATTATACCCCAAAAAATATATGAGACTGTGTGTAATTATTAGGTAAAGGACAACAGACAAAAAATTGTCTTGTTTTTTTGTTTGTTTTTTTTATTTTTACCTGCAGTGTTAAATTTTTTTCTCTTGCTTAGATTGATGAGGATTTGGCGTTGATAAATGATTTAGAGGGAGATCTCGCATGTTTATTAACTTGAATAATACCGTAGCAGATATCTGGTTCAGAGGTTGTGGGGGCTTGTTGTTTTGGTTAAAGCTAACAAAATAAGGACACTAGATGGTGGTGACGTCTTGCTTGGCAGATGACAGATCTAAACAATCATCACAAGCACAGATATATTGTGTGTAGTGCTAAGTGTTGTAGTAAGACAGATTGTGTCAATGTATTTTGTGTGGCTAAAAACTTTCTGTTCTCAAGATAGGACTTTTTTTTCCTTTGCTGGTAAATGTTTTTAAAAAAAAAATATAAATTTAAATCTAATTACAATGCTCAAAGAGTTACCCATTTGAACTGCGTGACTGTCCTCAATGCCCAAAGAATAACCCATTTAAACTGTGTGTCTGTCCTCAATGCCAGAAGAATAACCCATTGAACTATGTGTCTGTCCTCAATGCCCAAAGAATAACCCATTTGAACCATGTGCCTGTCAGATGCTGAAAACACAGACATCAGCTCCAGCAAATACGAGGACATCAACACCATCTGCAGTGCCCTCAAGTTGTACTTCAGGCTGTTGCCCATACCTCTGATAACTTGTGACGCTTACAAGAGACTCATGGAAATTATCAGTAAGTTAGTTTTAAGGCCAGGTTTCTGATTATCGGGTCATATCTAATTTATCTTACGTGAGTCTGTCCACGATTTTTTTTTTTTGGTCAGCTGTTTAACATATAATAAATGGCACATACATACACGGGTGCTGGGTGGCAGAGTGGTCTAAACCGAGTCAATTGTGGTGGTCTCGAGTTCAATCTCCACCAAAGCCTAGACAAGGAACAAACATCCCCAGGACCCTGGGCGGATGGGACTCGTTAACCTTGGGCGGCAACTCATCTAAGAGAAGGTAAACTCTGAATTCAAATTTGGAGATAGAGTGCCGTAGGCGGATAACATTACTGGTTTCAAGCTATATCATCGACATATCATGTCACCTTTTTTTTTTTGTTCGCTTTATGAATTCTGTGTGATAAAATGAAATTTTGTTTGGGCAAGAATCGTATGTAGATGCAACATTGAATTGAGCAAGAGTTTAAAGGTTTATCAAAGGAGCTTGTGTGAGATGATAGTTTGGAATAGCCCATAGTCCTTATCTCATTCAGTGGACCAATTTTGACCCTGTGTTGTGATTGTTAGGTTGGCAAGCCTTTCCTCCATGAGAAGGTGGGTTTGAATCCGTGGTATGGTCCTAGGTTGTTTTTTTTTAACAATCTTTTTCACAATCTTTTTATTCATGAAACGTCATGTAGTAAATTTCTTGTAAGCGAGCGTCAGACATTGTAAGGCAGTCAGGTGAGGCTGAGATGGGACCCAGTTGTGGGGAACATGGTAGGATGGCCTCGGGGCTAAAGGGAGGAGGATATGTGGGGGTGGGGGTAAGATAAGACCCAATTGGGGAACAGGGTAGGATAGTTTAAGGGTGAAGGGAAGAGGATGGGATTCAGTAAGGAGTGGATGGTCAGGAGTTGAGAGGGAGCATTGTGAGGAATGGGTGTGATGAGAGTACATTGTTTCGGTGATTTTTCTCCAAGAATTTTATAATACTATCATCGAATGTTACGCATAGAAATAAAAAATGCATTAGGAAAATTGAGACAACTCTTGCACACGGCCCCAGCACACAAAACTCTTTGTCAGTCATTTTAAGTAATGATGTGTGGAGAAGTTAATATTGGGAATACAATGTTTTTAGCCAATTAGTTTTTTTTTATTATTAACATAAATTACTCTGAAGTGCTTTTTGTTTTAGTAAGAACCCCTCCAGAAGTGAAGATTTTTTGGTGTTGTTTTATTTTTAAAAAAAAAACAGAAACTGAGGATCTAACTGTAAGTGACCAGGTGAAGTTGATGAAAGAACCTCTCAATGCTCTACCCCCAGCACATTTTCATACCCTCAAGTACATGTGTGCACACTTGGGCAGGTAAGTCTTGCATTCTTAGCGCATTTATAAAGTTTTATGCTAAAATGCTAGATAGAGTACAACATTTTTTTTTTTCTGCAAAAAAATGTTCTGGTTCAGAAAATTATACAAAATAAATGTCACGCAATGGTGCTTCACCTTGCTGGGGTCAGCATCTTGCTGAGGTCAAGGTCAGACCCTGTGTAATTATTAAAACTGTCAAGATACAGTTGCTTATTTACAACTCATTAGCCCATTATTTGATTTTATTGTGTATGGTAATAGATTTTATTGATACGATTGTTGATAAAAAAATGTCACACAGGGCTGTTTCACCTTATTTCTTTTCTGAAATGGCTTTCCTCGTTATAAATGTTTGTTTTTCCCTCAAACTGACTTTTGATAACTTTTTTAAAAATATTATGACAGGGTTGTAGAGAACAAAGCTAAGAACATGATGTCATCAGAAAACCTGGCCATTGTGTTCTCACCAACACTGATGAGATGTGATGACATGGACCCCATGGCCAGCCTGATGGCAGCCAAATTCGAACAAAAGATCATGGAGGTCATCTTGAGCAATCACATCAAACTGTTAGGGAAGTGATATCCCCTCCATGTTTTCCAACTGACATTCACACACAATGCCGCCCATTGTACTCATCACAACATTCATGGACACTTAATGTGGAAGTCTGCACACTTACAGGAGCTATCGTGCATGAAGATTTGTCTGCCAGGGTAAAGACTATAGGAGTATGTTGTCATCAGAGAACCAGGGGCCTCTTGAATCAGACTTTTAAAGACTTCTGTAGGATTATGTTGCCATCAGAGAACCAGGGGCGTCTTGAGTCAGACTTGTTCTGACTTTTTCAGCTCAAGTTTTTTTAAGATTGAAGAAATTGTGTGGAGCGAACAAAAATGACATGAGATCTTTATAATATTTTCCTCAGCATACCAGTACATAATCTTACAGGCTTGTGGTGCAACTTTCAGAGTGAGCATCAAAGCAGTGGGTTGTTCTGAAGAAGAAAAATAAATGGTGTATTGATAATTAATGTTGGTGAGAGCTCACCTTGTTTTCTGGTCAAGTGGATCACCAGGTGACACCAGACACTCAATCTGCTGATGGATTCAAGCCAGTGACAAGAAGTGGCCCTGTTTTCATGTCTCCACTACTCCACAATTAAATCTTTACACATCCAACATATTGGAAAGAGTTTTGTTAAAATTTAAAATTAAAAAAAAAAAACACTATTTTTTTACATTTTAAAATGAAAAGGTATAATTTTTTTACAACATACACTTTAAATTTGTGTCTCTCAATGTTATATGTGCTGAGTACTTGACGAACCCCGCCATTATTAATTTTTGTGTGCGCTAATTTTAACCCAAACTTGCATTTAAGAGAAATAAAATGTTAATTTAATTTCAATATTTTTACTTAACAAGGGTGAGATAATTACTCTGCTGGATTTTATTGTCATTCAGTTTTTTGCATTGACATGAAAATATTGACTCGCTTGGGCATAGCATTAGGTAAAAGAGGAAGTCTTCATAATATTTGGGGGTGTTGTCCAAAGCTTGTATCTAAAATTGACAGATGACTTTTGTTAATTGTCATTTTTAGCAGTGTTTAATAGCAAAGAAGATGTATTGTCAATTTAACACACTGGCTATTTCAAAGAATATGATTGTAAAAGACCATTTTTGAGCTCAATAGTTATGGAAGGTACCGATTTGACAAAATTCGTTGAAGATACTGATTTGACAGTGTTAGGTTCTTGAATCCAAGGACTCTACATTTTTTTAAAAACTTCCTTTCTCTAAGAAAAAAATAAAAAATAAGCACCATCTCTGCATGTATTAGCATGTGCCTTATAATCTCAGTGAATCTCATTCAAGTGAGCCAAAGATCAGCTTCATGCCACAACTTTTTTTCATCCACCTGTTTTGAAGCCTCTGAACATCACATTTTTGTGTTCAGCTTCTGTGGCTGCCCTTCTTTACTTCATCTCTGGCCTAGCAACACCTGACGACAGTTTTTCTGTTTGTTAGTGAGAAAACAATTTCAGCAGAAAGAAATTTTCACATGTCAAGTTATCTTGAAGTGCACACTCAGTTCGCGCTCCCCCCCTTTCCCCAGTATTACAAGTCATCCTCTGTACCATGTAGGCAGTTGATGACCTTTGACATGCACCCTGTTATATTATTTCACACCATTCAACACAGTATTTTTTTGTTGTTACATTTTCATTTATTTATTTTTTGTCTCACTTGGTTCATCTGGATTTTTAATTTAAAAAAAAAACCGGATGAGCTCCTCTGCTAAAATGGCATCAGTGTTAGGGACTGGGTGGAGTGTTTAATTGACTCATTTCTCTTTATCGCAACAGTTTTATAAACGCCACACTATTATTTTTTTGTATTGATGAAGCGAGTTGCTCAGAAGAACCCATTGTTCTTTTACTATGTACCATTTTGCAACATTTGTTTTTTTTTCCTCTCAGAGTTTAGATTGCTGAGATTTTCAGGGTAAGGCGTTCAAGCTGACCTCATTTGTATAAGTAGAGATCAACTTGTGGTTCAGCAGTATTTCTAACCAAAGAAACAAACTTCAAATTTAATTGTTTTCAATGATTCAATGTTTATGGGTGCTGCTTTATTATTTAGTCATTTTATTGATGATTTTTGTTATGGTGACCAGCAGTCTTATTGATCTTGAGTTGTTAAGGTAATTTATAGTGAGTAAAAAAAGATTCTTAAAAAAAAGAAAGATATTTCTGAATAGCTAGTCAAAGTAACCCAATGGGATCACAGTGTCCATCCACTTCCTTAAGAAACATATACCTCTGTGTAAGATTTCAAAATGAATTGCTCACATTCTCTTTTAGCTGTGCAGAGTTCTTTTCTTACTCTCTGAAATCAAATTTTTTTAAAATTAGTTATTTGCCAAGCTGATGGTCCCAAAAACAAAACAAAAAAAAGAAATTCTTAACAAGCTTATTCTTAGTTGATAAAGTAATGTACTTCAGCAGATCTTCAGGTCTCCAACCTTGATTCTTAAATGCCACTCTAAAAAATTATTTTTAATTAAAAGCAAAATCTCAATATAACTATACCAAAACATGCTTCTTACACTCTTGTCTGCCCAATGGGGCATGTAGCCATGGTTTGAGTAGCTCTGGTTTAGTCAGTCTGTAACTACTATGTATTTTTTATTGGAACAGTGGCTCAAGGTCCATCAATATTTGTAAGCGTTCTTTAATAGAAGATCATCACAATATGTCAATATTAAAATAAAACAAATCATTTTCATATACATAATTTGTAATATTGCATTTATTCTTCATTCACTAATGCTATCTGCAATATGACATTAGGAATTGTCAATATAGCTAAAATAATAAAACAAGGTGTACATTTTTTTAATAAAAAGAAGTTAAATTTGGAATTTAAATGGGGTCATGACCGTTGTCCTATTCAACTGGGGGGGGGTCATTGTCCCCTCTAAGCTGTACACAAGCCTGCTCACCAATCAGTGTTCAGTTCATATTTTCTGCCATTTTTTTGAATGAGACTATTTGGGAATACTAACTAATTACAACCAAAAGTACTATTAAATTACTCAGTCAAATGTTCAAGACCATTTACTGAGTGGGTAAAGGCATGAGTTACAAAAAGACTCTTACAGTAAGTCGATCAGTGCACATGTCAGACATATGTTGTTGTTTCAGTAAATATGTCAGACATATGTTGTTGCATGGTTCCAAATAATTCAGAGATCTGCAGCGTAAGTAGGAAATCCTTGCAGAGCATTAGTCCTGACCCCAGACTCATGCAACCTTTGCTCTTAAAACATTTTAACAACATTTAAAAAGTCTTCATATCATATTTATTATTAACTGTATCTTTGATGTCAACTTTTTTTTCAAATGAAATTTCATTTATTTAATCCATGTTTGCCTAGGTTTGAAATGTCAAGAGTTGTCAGTTTTTTTGTTGTTGGTTTTCTTCAATGTATGAATCAAAGTGAACTTGTTAGCATTGTCCTGCATAACTCATCATGTTCACAGCACAAACACATTTCATCAATGGCTCAGGTGTGCAGGTAAACCAAGACACTTGCCTCAAGACTCAGCAGTAGCTTCTCTGTACACCCCATTTCAAAGAATTGAACACGCATGTAAATAAAAATGTGTACGATTTTTTTTTTTTTGTGTAGGAAATTTTTTTACTGCAATATGATCAAAATTTTACCTATGTAATTGATATTGCATAAGATCAAATGTTAAAAAGATGGATTTAAAAAAAAACAACTGTTTTAATTAATTTTTCACAGACTTTTTATATACAAATTCATAGGTTAACACAGATGATAACTTAAAGTTAGAAATAATCCTATGTTCTCTATAAGTTCTGATAGGATTGGTTTGTGGATTGCCTGTAGGAATGGCAAGTGTATTGGAGACGTGTGCAAAGGTCAGAGGGTCAGATTTTAATTGCTCAAGAGTAATTGAATTTATAAATAGAAGTTAATCAAACACTGGAAATGTCAAAAACCTGAGCCTAGAAAAATTTGTTTATTTTTTTATATCATCTTGGGTGGGCATATTTTTTTAAAATGTCCAGTCGGACTGGGCAGGGGCTGGTTCGTGCCGGCGGCGGCATGCAGTTTGCTTTACGTAAACAGTTATCACATCAATGATTGACGTCCACATTAAAACAAACATCGAATATAATTTTCTACTTTGTCACAGGTTTCATTGATATACTTTCAATAAACAAAACTTTCATTTCTTTTTTTTTGTTTAATAGCATTAAGTGCATTTATTCAGCATTGTTCTGTTTCAGCGATTCTCAACCTGTGGGTCGTAACCCCTTTGGGAAGTGGGGGGGGGGGG